ATTATCCTGCACATAGATCCGGCAATTGTCATTCACGTTCGCAACAACCCCATACAACTGCAGCGAAGTCTCAATCAGGCCGGTCAGCCACAGCACAAGGAGAATAAAGCTGCCAATGATGATAATCCCCGGTAAGAGGAAGTGCCGCGACGCAAGAACCATAATTAGGAATATGAAGCACACCCCGAGTGCGCTGCATACAACCATGTAAGGGAAGAGCCTGGCTATCGTTAGTATACATGGTATATGTGACAAGTCTGACATGCAAGAATGTGGGGGGTGTAGGATATAAGAATGCACCCTAACCACATAGGATAGATATAAAGATAGTCACTTACCATGGTGTCCCAAGATGCATTTGTGATTGCACACCCATGAACCAAGAGAATATCCCCAGACATGTCGCTGAGCACGATAGTACGACCATAATCCAGATGTTGAGTTGGAGCTCCGGCCAGTGGTAGCGGCGGCGCGCTTCGTGGCGCTTGCGGACTGCCATCTGATTGTGTGTGGGATGTGGATGGAAGGTTTCTGGAGGTGTGTTGGATTGTGTTGGATTGCGATGGGTGATGGAGCGCGATTGCGAGTTTGGAGTGGGTTTCTGTGCTTTATACTGGTTTTGTTGTATACTGCCCGACGCAGGCTTGGATGCCCTATTTGTTGCAGGCTTGGGATGCGATGGCCAGATCGTGAGTCAAGTGAGTCAAGTCTGGGATTGGTAGAGTCCTATTAGGATGCTTCTGGTGAGGCGTGGTGATTAGGACAGCGCATTGGGCGCCCTCGAGCGCTAGAGGCCCTGGGGAGTCTTGGAGTTGGTGCGACTTGGATATTTACAATTGCGCACGCCATTAATCAAATGGCCAAGATATAGTAAAGAAGGAAGATTAAGAAACAAATAAAAGAGATAACAAAAGGCCGGGGAGGGGGAAATTTAGGAAAATGGGGTGGCAGGGGATTTAGTATCTTTCACTGTCAATTTTAATCTTCAATACTTCAATGCTTCTGTACTGAATAACTCAAGATGTCTCATTTAATATTCCACTCTTTTAACCCGTTTATCTTTTAACTCATTCATCAAATCTTTATAGAAGAGTGTCGCCCAATGCACTACGCACCAACGAACACCCCGCTCGAATGGTCTCCGACGCGCCCTTGGTCTCCAGGCTGGGGTTCACCTCGACCAAGTCCATCGCAACCAGATTTCCAGTCTCATGCACAGCTTCACAGATGAAGTCTCCCTCACGCAGCGTCAGCCCACCACGGACTGGCGTACCGGTACTAGGTGCCCACTGAGGATCCAGCGCATCGACATCGAAGGACAAGTGAATGGGAGTATCGTTACCGATGTGAGCGAGAGCCATTTCGACAACGCGACCGATACCATGACTAGCAGAGGACAGAGAGGTTAGCGACGAAGACCACCACAACCTAGGGAAAATCGAAAGAGAACATACCGGTCGATATCGTGCATACTGAATGCCTTGATGCCATTCTCACGCAAGAGCTTCTTCTCGCCGCGATCGACATCGCGCAACCCGATATACACGAGCTTCTGCGTGCTCACGATGTGCTCGTCCTGCATCCAGCCAAAGATATCTTTCTTCTCCTCCCGGGCCAGCCGGGTCAGGAACGCCATCGGCATACCGTGGATGTTCCCGCTGTCGCTTGTTTCGGGGATATTGATATCGGCGTGGGCGTCGACCCAGATCACGGCCATTTCGCGGCCCAGTCGTTCGCGGATTGCCTTTGCTGTGCCGGAGACGGTGCCGATGGCGATGGAGTGGTCGCCGCCGAGAGTAAGTACGAACTTTCCGTCCTTGGCATAGTTGTAGACCTGTGAGCTGAGCTTCTCGGTCACGGCGCTGACAGCCCGTGGCTTCTTCATGCCTCGGTGGTCGGGGTCTTCGGTGGGGATGTCATTCTCGTAGTAGTGGACTGTGTTGTCGTGGTGGACATCGTAGTCGAGATCCTCGCTGAGTTGGGTTAGGAGTCCCGATTCGATGAGGGCCATTGGAGCCGCTTCGACACCCTTCTTGCACTGTTGGTGGGGTTTAGTATGATTCATGATCTATAGCTTCACCTTCACTGTCTTACCTGGCCGCCATTGAAACCAACGGCAACAACGCCGAGTTGGTTAGGGTGTGAGAGGAACCTCGAAGTGATGGTTGAAGGTTGGGTCATTGTGTAGAATGTAGGTAACTGTAGGAAGGAAGAAAAGAGAGCTATTGAAAGATCAAGATAAGATAAAAAGTGGAGCCTCGATCAGGGAGGTCAGGATGATGCCGATGATTTTGTTTGAAAAAGAGGAAGAAATAGAGGATAACTCTTCCCTTTAAATATCGCAGAATTGTCTTACGTCTTCCACGTTAACCCCCGACTTCAACCGGGGCGGTGCTTTCATTCCTTGCGCGATGCCCGCGAAGTCGCTAAAAACTGCTTTTAGCGATCAAAGCGACTCCGCCGGATCTCCATCACTTCCGTTAAGTACAGGTTGAGGAGAGCTACCCCTTTTAGGGCCGTTCGGTCCCACAAGCTTTTGTTTTGACCTGTTACAGTGGGCGATAGACCGGGAATTCTATCATTTCATTTCCGGGCTTTTATTCAGGCGCGTGGGGTGGTATCGGAGGTCCGGCAGAGTTTATATGGAAATAGAATAATTGAAAAGGCCGCAGTCTTCCAAAATTGGCCACAGGGTATCATTGATGCCATAGAATACATTTTATACTATACTATACAAGCTATTCCAGAATCAACTCCCGGAGAATCTCCTCTGCCTTGGGCGCCTCTACCCGGCCCTTCTCACCAGTGCGCATCATTTGTCCCACGAACCAACCCAGTTTACCCAGCTGATTCTTGCTGCGGATCTGCTCGACCATCTGGGGGTTCAGGGCAATGACCGACTCCGCCAGAGCTAGATACTCCTCCCGCGACAACGGCCGCAGCAGAAGATTCTCCTCCTCTAGTAGTTGCGGCACTGGTCGATGGTCCCCGTCAAAGATGGTGGCCAGCACCTGTTTCGCTGTCGGGCCAGTGATGAGTTTCCGCTGGAGGTGGTCGATGAGATGGGCCAAGGATCGGGCTGGGACGATCTCCGCGTCCCATGCCTGGTCTGCCTTGGCCAAGAGACCACCCAGCTCGTGCAAAACCCAGTTGCTTGCCAGCCGCGCGAGACTGGCGCGCGTTTTATCATCTTGGTCCACTTGAAGGCCGCGGAGGATATCCACCACATCGTGATAGTACTCGAGACGGGCTCCGTCGTCCAGCTCGATGAGTGGTTTGGCATCTTCGATTGGGAGATTAAACTCAGATCCGACAAGCAGTGTAAGAAGAGCGTCTGGTGCTGTCGGAATAGATTCTCGGAGACTAGAGAGCAGGTCCTCTCCAATGATCAGTGGTGGAATGTCAGGATCCGGCATGTAGCGGTAGTCGACCGAGCCTTCTTTCCCGCGAAGTCTGCGAGTTTCAGTGCTGCCGATTGTCCATCCCCGTGTTTCTCCTTCTATAACACCGCCACTCTTGAGCACCTCGATCTGACGGTTCTTCTCAGCAATGATGGCATCCTCTACCGCCTTGAAGCTGCTGAGGTTCTTGATTTCGGTACGCTGACCCAGCCCGCTGATCCCATCGTACTGATGTTGCCCAGGTGCTTCGCCTCGGCGTCGGACCGAGACGTTGACATCTGCACGAAGACCGCCCATCTCCATTCCCGTGGTCACGGCACCACACGATTGCACAATAGCTTGTAGTTTCCGAACGCATGCTGCGGCCGTTGCAGGAGTGTGAATTTGCGGCATGGTAATGATTTCGATAAGAGGATGGGACACACGGTTGAAGTCGAGAAGTTGTGTCGAGGGCGGGTATTCCTGGGATTTGGCCGTGTCCTGCTCCAACTGGAGTTGTTTGATGTCAATACGAACGCGCTCACCGTCTTCCGGGGCGATTCCATCGTAATCGAATAGGTCAACGTAGCCATTTCGTGCGAATGGTTCTAGAGCAGGTAAGTATATTTCACGTTTGAATGAGGGAAATACTTACCATAGTATTGTGTGATTTGATACCCCGCCGGTTGATCCTGATAGAAATAGTGTTTCCGATCAAACCGACTGACTGGTTGTATTTCACAGTTCAGTGCAATGGCAGCGCGGAGAGCTGGTAGGAGTGTTGCGATTTGGAATTCCTGTCTCAGATCAGCCCTAGCCCTATTTCACAGCATTGTAAACCATAACACTAACCGGTTGGCTACCTGGGAATGCCAGATCGAACAAGGCAACATTGGAATTGGGAGTATCACTTGTCGAAGTTGCTGCCCCTATTCAATTTATGAGAGGATGACTCGTAGTCTCCGAGTCTAAGGCGTACTGACGGGAAAATAATTTGGCCTCTGTATCTAACTGCGCGTGGATCTCCACGCCCACTGTAAGTTCCCATTCTTGCCTTGAAGCCTCTTCTGTTTCCTTGCGTTGTTTCTTGTGTGATCGAAGCGCTTTGGCTTCCTGCTTGAGTTGTTTGCGGAGGGGAACGCGATCTGCGGAGGTCGGCGGTTGGAGATAGCGGTTTGGCGCGGAGGAGAATGTGGCTTTAGGGAATGAAAGGGATGACCGAATCGAGCGTCGGACGCAAAGTGAGCGGAGCGTACCGCCGCCGATCCATGACCGAAGCATAGAGAGATTGGACTCGTGTTGTTGGAGTGTTGAACCTTGCAAGACGTGAATTTGCGGGAGAAGCTCGGGGGACTTGGCGATCTGCAGATCATTGGACCTTTATTCCGTAGTCTCAAGGGACATATTTCTTTTTAAACCCACCATTTCCAATATCCTTTGTACTAATATGCTTTTGAAAATTTCAAGAAAAAGAGGATATTAAAAATGTCTCTTAAGCCTAATAGATTTGCATCGAGTTATAACTCTCATACCATCAAGTATACAACTAGGTAGGCACTGCGACTGTCAAATCTTCGTTAACCTGCCATTACTAGCCTAAAGCATCATATTATAGCTGACTCAAACGTCATTAATCTTCTCTCGAGCGGCAGCCTGCTCCTCAGCCACTACATCGGCAGGGATGCGGTCTGGTGTCGTGTTCACAAGCATAATCATAGGGAGAAGAGCAGCCCCGAGTAGCCCAAACGTCACGCCACTAGAAAGACTGTTAGACATATGCTTGGTAAGGGGCCATTATAAGTGAAATGAGCACACGTACAATCCAATCAGAGGGTTACTCGTCGTTTGAGTGTTCATGCCGTAGGCAATAGCCTGTCCAATAGCCTCGATGCATCGGAATGCAGCACCGTTACGAACATTTTCTAACGTGACCATTAGCATCCAAGTCTTTTCTTATCCCCTAGAATTCATTTGGAATACTCACCCTGCGCATCTGTCGCAAATGATGATAGGAGCCAATACATGTACGATTGCGACAACGGGCCCGTAGTCTGCACGAAGAAATACGGCAGGAAGGACGAAGCGTACAGTCCATCATCCCAGTCGATAGCGCCGGGATCATGGCGGTTGAACTTGGTCTGCATAATAATGGACCAGGTGTACACACCGAAGTTGAGGATGACGACTGTGTAGAGGCCAATCTGGGCGCGGCGGCGCTGGCTGAGGCCCTTCATGTCGAGGATAAAACCGAGGCCAAAGCAGCCGATTCTGAGAGGAGATTAGTTTCATATTTAAATGACAACGAAACACCATAGCCTGGACTTACATGCAGAATAAAGGCGAGATGAGGGACGATAGGGCGCGTGAGCGGACGGTGAAATAGGTTCCCAAGTAGGTGTTCCAGGTCCCGCTGGCATATTTGTTAGCCTTTCATTGCCAGTCAGCGATGGGCAGGAGACTGGGAAACTGGCATACGTGTAGAAAAATGACCACAGTGCCCAAAGGGAAGAAAATGCAATGAGTTTCGACGTCATGGTCTTCGCAATGCGCTTTACTTCCATCTTGGTAGAAAGGGTCTCCGAGGTGACGATTCGAGTACCGTCAGATCGGACAACGCGTTCAAAGGGGGTTATTAACAATGCAAATGGCAGGCTAAGCAATATAATTAGCATCCATCTTTTAGCTCTTTAGATTGTTCGCTGCGCGGATGCACTCACGCGAGACACTCAATAATCACAAAGGCAATGTAAGTATCGGGAGAAACCCCACCGCTGACCCCCTTTTTGTAGTTCTTCGACAGACTGTAAAAAAAAGAGACGATAAGTCGAAATTCATCCATGCATTCGTTGTACTTCGGAAAAGCTTACTTGATTGCACCACCAACCAGCTGTCCAAGATTCCGCGACACAATCCATAAAGCCAGATATTTTCCACGGGCACCGGAAGGTGCAAGCGTCATGATGGCCCCAGCCTCGGCGACATACCAGCAAGCGGTCCCAATACCGCTAATAGCACCGCTGAGGATGAGGTACTGCAAGGAAGACTTCAATCAGATATTTTGGACTTTGGGGAAGCATTTCAAGCTGCCTATTGATGCCAGAGATATTGAGGAAGCTTTACTTACCCATTCGTTTCCAAATTTGCTGTTGCAGTAGTACGCGGACCCTTGGATGGGGAAGGACATCGAGCCGATAATGAGAGCCCACTTGATACCGATTTTGTTCACGAGGGGACCACCCAAGAAGCAAACTGGTGCGCTTGGTTAGTGCATTAAAAGCTGGTGTTTAATATTGGGGCGCATACCGACTGCAAGCATGGCATATGTAATCGCCGTCGAGATATTTGACACCCGAGGAGAGGCAAGACCACCGCCGCCGAGGCCTGGAAATGATAAGCTGCGCATTCAGACCATGATGGGCTTTGCACTCACCTATAATCGCGTCTGACATGGCTGGCCCACAGAACGCCTGAATGCTCAGAAGTATCATCTGCGTCAAACTGTTCTGCCATATCCGCTTCCAAAGCGGGACAGTTGCCCTATATTGCTCCATGTTGACCCCCTGAGCAATATCGGATACAGTGTCCGGTAAAGGAAGAGAATCATCCTTTGTACTAGGAACAGTCTTCAAGTCGGCCATTATATAAGGGTAGAAATACAGCGCGTATAGTATGAGTGACTCAGAAAGATGCCCGAAACTTGCGCCCCATGTCTGGTTATTTATACAAGTCATGTTCGCATAGTGTCTGCAGCTCGGCCTTATCTTTGAACCCCGGAATATTTCCCGATTTGTTCCCTCTTCTACCTACAAGGTGAATCCCGTGCCATCGGGTGGGGAGTCCACCCTTGGGGTGTGGGGGGTGGTGAAGGTCCACGCGACACCAATGCGATATCCTCAAGTCTCGCGTATTAGTGTACCGATAGCGACGAGTGTCTCACTAGTTGATATCGGCATCATTATCAATAAGTCTGTACTCCGTATCTCGGGTGGACAAAAACCGGGGTCACTGGGGGGTGATTGGTGAAGGTCCACGCGAAATCGTGATACCTTTGGCGAAGCACTGGTATATTATTGCATCATTATCAATTCTGTATCTTGGACAACCAAGGAAAAGCCGGGGTCAATAGCTATCGATGCTTATCTCGTAACTCCCGAGGCCCTTTGGTGGGTCAATTCCCCGCGTTCTCCAGGGTTTCCTAATGCTCCCGGCGTACAGCAGTTACCAGCGGCCAGAGCGCCATATCGTATTTTTCCATATTAAATCTTGACCGCCTTCAACACCGCTGATTTACTATTACCTCCAGGGCTCCTTCGTACAAATTTTAGTAATTAATTTCTACAATATCTTAATTTTATAAAGGTTATATGAAAGTCCATCTTTGCAGCTTAAGTCTTTTTTGGCCCTTTTCTAGTATCTGCCTAATAGACTAAGAAGGGGGAGGAAATATCTATATGACTACCTAAGGAGACTACTAGAAAGGACTACTAGAAAGGACCACTAAAAGACCACTAGACTACGGCCGGATCAGCGCCGACTATTCTCCTCAATTTCTACAATATCTCATTCCTACAATATCAACTTCCATAGTGTCATTTTCTACACTATTAATTTCTATCAATTTCTATAGTCAATAGAATACGCATGCTAATCTGCTGGCAAAATACGATATGGCACACTGGGGGCTATACACTGCCGTACCCGGGGGCGGGCCGTTTAGGCGCTTGTAAACCTCGTGGCTGGACATAGTGAAGGTCCACGCGAACCTTTCTCCACTTCGCAGTCGACACATTTCCGGATAGCGATTGCTCATATGATGTTGATCATGGCCTTGATCGCTTTGTCAAATAAAGGTCCTTCAATAAATTGTCGTTTATCCCGCTTCCGAGACTTTGTTTAATCCTCTTAAGCGTACCTCGCACAAGGTCGATTACTACAGCATGGCTCATTCGCGAGAAAGCACAAAGGTCATCATTGTAGGGGGAGGTGGCACGATGGGATCTTCAACTGCACTACACCTGATACGCTCTGGATACACTCCGTCAAACATCACCGTCCTTGATGTATATCCAATTCCTTCCTTGCAATCTGCAGGATATGACCTCAACAAGATCATGAGCATCAGATTACGCAACGGGCCTGACTTGCAACTTTCCCTAGAGGCTCTCGATATGTGGAAAAACGATCCGTTGTTCAAGCCTTTCTTTCACAATGTCGGCATGGTGAGTCATTCAATAATAGCTTCCAATTGGATATTAGCAACTTCCATATTTACATACCTTTAGCTAGACTGTTCGTCGTCACAAGAGGGTATTGCAAGCCTTCGACAGAATCACCAAGCCCTCATCGACGCGAATATCGGACTAGAGCAGTCGAATATTTGGTTAGAGAGGGAAGATGATATTCTGGCAAAAGCCCCGCACTTCATGCGAGAACAAATCAAGGTAAATCCCATCACGACAAAAAGAAATTAGGGTAGGAAAGGCTAACCAGATGGCAGGGGTGGAAGGGGTTGTTTTGCGGCGATGGAGGATGGCTTGCTGCAGCCAAGGCTATCAATGCGATCGGAACCTTCCTAAAAGGTCAAGGCGCCAAGTTCGGATTTGGCAGGTATGGGATAGGATATCTACAACTTCCTGGAAAACTCGGTGTTTACTCTACTAATTTGTATTTGCAGTGCCGGCACTTTCAAGCGACCTTTGTTTGCTGCAGATGGGACGACATGCAATGGCGTTGAGACAGTAGATGGAACAAAATACTACGCCGACAAGGTGGTTTTGGCCGCTGGTGCTTGGAGTCCGACGTTAGTAGATCTGGAGGACCAGTGTGTTTCGAAGGTCAGCTGGACATCTCCTTTGCCGGCGTATTTCAGGATTTCAGGATTTCAGGGAAGCCTGGTTCAAATAACCATGCCGCTAACTGAACGATGGATTTAGGCCTGGGTCTTCGCTCATATCCAACTCACGCCCCAAGAAGCGGCCCAGTACAAGGACACGCCCGTAGTATACGACGGTGAATATGGCTTTTTCTTCGAGCCCAACGAGTAAGCAATCGTTCCTAGTCCAACCTCAAAGGAAGGAACGGGCCACGCTAAATATTCATCCACAGGCACGGAGTAATCAAAGTCTGCGATGAGTTCCCCGGTTTCTCCCGTTTCAAGCAGCATCACCCTTACGGTGCCACCTCTCCCAAGCTCATATCCGTTCCTCGATCACACGCCAAGCATCCCACCGATACCTACCCAGATGCTTCTGAAGAAACCATTCGCAAAGCGATCGCGAGGTTCATGCCGCGCTTCAAGGATAAGGAGCTTTTTAATCGGAGCATGTGTTGGTGCACTGATACTGCTGACGCCAACTTGTTGATCTGCGAGCACCCCCGGTGGAAGAACTTTATTTTGGCCACGGGAGACAGCGGGTAAGTGGATGATACAAGACTGTATATAGCGGTTATCTCGCTAACACGTCATGCAACAGCCATAGTTTCAAGCTTCTTCCCAATATAGGCAAACATATCGTTGAGCTGATGGAAGGATCTCTGCCGCAAGACATGGCTAGTGCGTGGAGATGGAGACCAGGGGGCGATGCCCTCAAATCCAGACGCAGTGCTCCGGCAAAGGACCTTGCTGACATGCCGGGTTGGAAGCATGATGCAAAGCTATGATTCACGTTTGCATTTGTGTGATACCAATTCGGGGTGATCACTAAAGGTCATGAAATTCGTCAAGCGTGCATATATCGATATCTAGTAATCACATCAAACATATTCACACTGATTAACAATACACTCTTACATCTCTATTCCTTGCCATGTACTGGGTAGTATACGGAGAAATGTCTTGCATAATTACGATTCAATGGTTACGGTGTTCCTGCAAGTGCCTATGTCAGTAACGGTTAAAGTGGACGCTGCTAGTGTCCTCAATGTTCCAAGACACAATTTTCTATTCATGTTTAACCGGATTCTTGTTTGGGATATATGCCTCTCATGCCGTTCGGCTGCCAGATAAAATATATTTGCTCTGCTTGAAAGTTGGATCCAATGCCACACCCAAGAGAATAAATCACGTAGAAGGGCCCTCGGACTGATATACAGACACTCGAGACCACGCGACTCTTTAAAATAGTTAACTGGCTGACAGTTTCGATGCGTTCGATGGTGTGGATGAGTAAGTTTTATCCGGGCAGACGAGGTGTCGAATTCCCCGAATAATTTGTTAATAGGCGGATGAAAAGGTATATAAGACTGGGTGCCTGGAGTCTTCTTAGGGGCTGAATCAGCAAAAGGCCTCTCAGTGACTTCCTTGCTTGTTACGGTGAACATTTCATTTCTTCATTGATCAAGATGCACATGAAAAGTGCTCTGAAACTGGCCATCCTCGGGGGCACTCTCCTCGCTTCCGCTCATCCAGGGCACCATGAACCCTCTGACGGCCCTGATGTTCAGCTGTACAAGAGGAACGTCCAAACTGGTCTGCAGAAATGCTCGGAGTCCCAGAACAATGGTATCCAAGTCCGAGTCGAAGCTTGTCGCAGGGCTATGGTCGCTCTGCACCGCCGTCACCTTTGCGTCCGAGATACAAACGCAGTCCTCAACAAGTTCCACCAAGCCACACGACCCATGCCCCCCTCAAAGTCGGAGAAGGAAATCTTCAACTCCCAGAGAAAGTGTGTCGCCTCGGCCCAAGTACCGAAGGGGAAACAGGACCATCTTGGCTTCCCGGCGAACGGGTATGCTCTCACATCCGCGAAGGCCAGCCCGGTGTGCCCGTGGTAATCTAGCAGCAATACATCGACGTCGAACCCTACAAGCTGTACCGGATCTCTACGCCGAGATCTAGGGATGCAATGCCACAGGCGTGTATTCGGCCTGGTAACAGATGACAATGGCAATTCAGCGGACCCGTCAAACCATAGCCGGACGTTCCGCGCCGCTGCGCGGAATTCAAAAGGCCGAGACAGCCAAACAACACCATTGCTGGTGGGAGTCTCAGCACCAAGAAAAGCTTCCTATTTTTCCCTAACGCATAAAAATAACAATTACGGCGGTTTGGCCGAGTGGTCTAAGGCGATTGACTAGAACTTGCTTGAGATCAAATACTGAAATCAAGCCCTTTCATTATCAATTCCGTTCGCGGGCGCATGTTCGAATCATGCAGCCGTCGTTGCAATCTCTTTTTCCCTTTTTTTCGCTTGGTATATATATGTTATATATACAATCTTTGCAATTTGGTTTTGTTTTGTTTTTTACAAGATTAAGCGGCCTTTAAAAGGTGAGGTTAAATAGAAGGCGATCCTAAATTAAATTTAGGTACAATTATAATCACGTGGGGTGAGCTTGCACTGGAGGGTTAAGCCTAATTAGGTAGGTAGGCTCGGCTATTAGCTATAAAGGGATAATCTGGGAGCGTAGATTATAAAATAATATGGTCGATTTTAATAAGGTATGACTGTAAATTATATGTGAACCTAGCAAAAGGTGAAATTTGCATTCGGGCGTGAACGGTGTCTTGTCTTAAGAGTAAGGGCAATAGTGTGAGGACCGGGCGGTGAATGAGGAGACTCAGAACAGCGAGGTTCCAGGGCTGACCCGATGCTTAACTACACGTATCTGGGTGATCACGTTGAAGACGGACTGTTTGCTTGGATTACTGTTGCTGTCAACCTGTCTGCTCTGCCTAGGGAGCATTAGTTTTCCAACACATGACTATCTGAGCCTTATAGAAGTGGCAGCTCAGATAGGAAAAGCCTTCGGAAATGCCACTATATGTACATGCATACAATGTTGGATATTGTATGTACAACATAACAACGTAGGAGAATTGAAAATCGTCATTCTAAACTCAATTGTTGTATTTAAAATGACATACATTTCCCTCTTCGCTAGATCTATTGATCATCTCAATTTCCCACCCTCTTTCTATCCTCCTAACTCTAGTACCTACTATGCTTCCTACACGTACTCAACTACTCCTTATCAATACATTACTGACAAGGCTTTATGCACGCAATATGGCAGATAAGTGGTGTTGCACAGACATCGTACACTGCTCACATAGCTGCATCACATTCCCCCGCTTTGCTAGACCGCCAGATGCAAGGAAGATCGACCAGCGCATAACTACATGTTCCTTTCTAACTTCAGACACACATGCATTTACATTTCGGACTCAGCAGGACTGATTTGCTCTCAAAATTTGGCCCACTAAACCGTTCAGAATGTTCAACCCGGCAATTCCTCGCCATTTCCCTATTTCTTGATTTCTTTGAGTCGTGAGAGAGGTCGATCGACAGGGATACAAGGGACCTCCGACACCATTATCATTGGTCGATCTAAATAAAGCGCTCGGCGCTTCTAAGTTGCTTCAGATTGTTCTCAGACTTGACTGTGACGAATTGCAAGTCTCCATTTCGACAAGCACAACACTTTGGGCTCGTTTCCAGCTGACGCGAAAACCTATTTCCAACGGAACACGGACGTTTCGTGTTTCTATAATAATACCATATTCCCTCTTACCGGAATGCCTGACGGAATTCGCGGGGAAATTGGAGATATCATACTATTTTTCATCGATCCCCCTAGATTCCGCACCTTTGACACTCGACTCGATCTGAGACCTGGAATTCCCCCCCTAGGCCATACCTCGGGTCCCTATACTCCTGATTCCATTGCGACTCCATACTACGATTAATTCCATGTAGTTCATTTTACATTTCTTTTCTTTCCCTGCGGACATACCCTGATTTGGTATCTATATTTGAAGAGGTATGAAGCTGATATTGATTCCGAACTTCTCCGATCACCATGCCGCTCCAAACTAGAAAGCCAAAAAAGGATGGAAGAAAGAGGACGTACTCGTTGGTGTCCAATACCACAAACACACAGGCTGGTCCTGTCGCAACCCCTAAAACTGTCGAGAACAGTTCACCCTCACAACAGGCCAATGGGTCAAGACGAGCCCTAAATGCGCCTGTCGTCCAAGAGAACCCACCACGAAAGCCCACAGAGCCGGCGAAGAAGATGCCTAATGTGTTCGAGTTTCTCGAAGAGAACGAAGAATCATCTTCAGACTCGTCATCATTATCGTCATCGTCATCGTCGGAATCTGAATCCGACGAGGAGCCAGAGCCTCCACGCCCTATACAAACCACCACCAAAATCCAGGCTCCCAAACCACGGGCAAATACTGTGCCGCACGGAGTATTGACCTCAGGAGGCAACACACCCCCGAAGAAAGTTATCCAATCACCTACAGTGGTATCCCAAATTCCAAAAGAACCACGAAAGCCAGCGCCACCAACCGCACCTTCTACAGGCAATCAGTTAGTCGCGCGGAAGAGACAAACCACTAGAAAGCCGAGCCCGATCTCGACTGAAGTCATCTGCCCAGGACAAGGGCAACTAGAATTGTCGCGACCACAGACCTACCATGGGTCACCAAGAGACAGCGGCGCTGTCCACAGACCACCGCTCCCACCATCACCCCCTAGAAGTCCAGAAGATAGCATTCATCGCACCACACCGACAAAGAGACGAGACCCCAATGCGTCACAAGAGCTATCTGGATACGCGCTTCTAGCTTCGCACCTAACCAAGTCCGCCTCAGAAGATAGCGGAGGCTTCCCTCCGCTATACCGACGCTTCGAGACCGTGAACCACCGCGTTCTGCTCCACCTCCAAGACGAGATCTCCCAAATGGAAGAAGATCTCCACACGCTCGATGAGTATGAAGAAATGCATCGGGTCAGCACAGCCGAGCATGAAGGCACAAAGCCCTTACCGGCTTCACGACGGCGGGATGCCCAGTCCCAGGCTTATTCATCTTTGCATTACCGCCGCATGGATCTCATGAGTGCTTTGATCCAAAAGACCGAACAGTACAGTATGCCACTCCCTCTACTTTCCATCTTGCTATCCACAAACCAGACTCCTGACCAGGAACCCAGACAACGCCCTCAGCGCCTATAGCAAAGTCCTACAGACGCTCCCGCGGGCCTCGGAACAGGACATCACGGGCTATCGCAGCTGGATGAGAGAATATAAGCCCGTCGCTGGTGTCGAGACGCGATTCCTCATCCACGACGCGGATCTAGTCTCCCTCACCCCGCGACTGGCTGCTTCTGCAGCCGCGGCACCCGTCTACATCGCCATTATCATCGCGTCTGGTGCGCTCCTGCTTCCATTGTTAGCGTTCAGCCTTATTGCGGAGTTCTCCGGTCGTCTTGTCGTTGTGACGGTTGTTGGCGGTGCCGCGGCGGCTATTGCGGCGAACTATTCGGCTGGTATTGATACGCTGGTCGACTCGAGGGATGGGTGGCGCTGTGCTACGATGTATGATTGCTTCGATTCTATTGCTGTGGCTGCATAGACTGACTTTTCTTTTCTAGATACTTCGGTTTTATGACTATGGCTGCTATGTTCATTCCCTAGCTTCGAGGTTATATTTCCTCAACTTGGATCCTGCATGCATCAACTTCTTATGACTTACGAATTTCTTTTGTTCTGTCTCTTGTCTCCTTGGCGATGAGCCCTATATGCCACTATGGGTTTCTTTTTCTCTTTTTATGAAGGGAAGGTTGGAATGGACTTAGTACGGGGCACGCGGGAAAGAGATGGCGTTCATTCTTGGGGGGGTTGCTTCAATAATTGGATAGGGCAGATAGACGAGTATCTGGGGCCTGGCATGTAACAGAATATGAGCATTGGACAGGAGATACAGCGGACTTGAAGATACTATAGCAGTGTTTTTTAAATTGGGAATCTTAGTGAGCAATGTACTATTTATGAGATACGGTTCTAGGAATGCTCTGCAACCTCTTTTCTCAATATCTCTCCTTAGGGTCGAATCTCTACATCTGAAAGCACGAGGTGTACTAGTATGTAGCATACATATTGATTGAATTGCATCGGAAACGAAAAACAAGTAACTCTCTAAGCAAGACTTAGCTGTATCGCAATGGCAGCCTGTACACCCAGGCCGATCTGTCTTGAAAAAAAAAAAACCATCCACGCCAATCGCTTAGTCCATAATACAACACCAAATAAGGAAAAATCATACAAAGCCAGGGATCAAGAGGTTCATTAACAACACAGTTGGGAAAAAAAATTCGGAGACGCGGATCACATCCAGAGCTCATAATTCGAAAGGAAAATAGAAAGAAGAGAAATGCAAAAGTCAATAAAGCAGAAAGCCGACTGTAGAGGAATGTAATGTTAGAGCTTTCTCTTCAGAAACAAACCGCACTTTTGAATTTTGAACACAACGCCACGTGCTCAAATTCGCACAAATATCAGGCCTTATGTGGAAAGGGGCGTCCCATTCGGCTTGCTCCCTGGTGTCATGCTGCCTTCTTGGGAAGCACGGGCATCCAGCCCTTGAGGTTGAGGTGTTGAAGGACTGTGGCCTGTCTGTCGAGCTGCCAGTTGTGCCTTGTTCCTGTCCATCAGCGCAGCTTGTTCGGCTGCACTACGAGAGTATGTGGCACTAGCGGCGGAGTTTGAGTAGCCAGCTTGTGAAGGGGTTTGACCTGGGTACTGAGCTCGCTGGTTCGCGGTTGCAGTCGCGTAGGGTGTACGCCCTTGCGGCGTGGCGTTGAATGTGCCTGGCTGCCTGGGCTGTGGTGTGTAAGGCTGCGGTGACACCTGGGCATATCCATTGGAAGCAGGACGCTGGTATTGGGCAGGCTGGCTGGCCTGGCTGTACTGCGGGTTCACTTGCGCGTATTGAGCGTTGCCTGGACGTTGGCTGGGTGTGCTCGGTGGACGACCCGCGCCATAAGCATGCGTGTATGTAGTTGGCGCCGAGGGCTGCCGTCCGTGCTGAGGCGTGACCTGGAACCCGGGCTGAGGCGGCACCCGAGCATTGGAAGCAAAAGCACGTTGGTTGTAGGCACTGTGAGAGCCTTGGTAATTACTAGGTCGTGAGCTAGAGGGTGTTGAAGTTCGATTTGCGGCACTGGCTGCTGCAAGCAATGCTGCGGCCCTTTCTTGTGACAAAGTGAAGTCATCCTTTTCCATTGTGCCATTGTAGTCAGGAGTCTCAACCAGAATCTTTTGGCTGATATTCAACTCAGCGAGCTGATTACCGTCCAATTTAGCAACGGCATAAGGTGGCAAATTGCTGATGATTGCAGCAAGGCTTGACTTGAGAGTATCATACACCAGGGTCTCTGCTTCAGAGGGGGTGTTCACGTCGCCCATATCAAGGCCAGGGGTTTCATTCGACTCAGGCACTTGCTGACCAGGTGGCTGGGGATCAGAGGGAAGTTTGAGACTTCGAATTCGCTGATAGGAACTAAGAGTGTCGAGCAAGTCGGAAACCTCCTCAAGCATTTGCTTGATCTCTTTTGATTCCGGGTCGACTTCAGTGCTCGGATCGGTCTCCGTGATGTCCCCGGCAAAGTCTTGGGCGTTGAATGACTCAACCATTTCATCCAGGATGCTCTCATCAAGTTCGCCAATATTGCCAGGCTGGGTGGTTTGGGTGTCATTTTGTTTGACGTCTCCTTCCCATGGGACCGACAGTAAGGTGTTCACACGGTTCGCACCCCGTTGTCCCCACCAAACCATATCCTTCGAAGCGAGCTGTACAATTGCGCCAGAGCTGTCGTAAGACGGAGCAAATGACGAGAAGACACCCTGGAAAGCAGATGAATCAGGACCGGTCCAAAGGGCAGGATCGCCATGTCGATGAACACTATCAGAATCTGCATGCTTTTCTACACGGTCCCAGTAGGAAGGTGATGATGTGACTCCACCGTATTGAAGCCATTGGGTTGAAGGGAGAAGTGCTAGGCAATAGTTGCTACGCTCTCCCAAAAATGTCCTGACATCGAAAGTGGCGTCGAAGCGATCCGTCCATGTGGTCGAATTAGCCCGGTGAGATCGCTTGCGCGGCGGTTCCAGCTTTGGTAATGTGTCCCTGGGAGCGAATACCTCACCGAATGTTCGCTTCGATGGTTGAGCAGCATCAAGGTTGTAAGGGATGACTTTGGTGGCTGTGATGCCGTTAGGCAGGGCGAGCTCGCGCAGCTCCTCCTGCACCTCAACAAACTTCTCAGGTCCTGATTCGGACTGCAACGGCACCTTCACCGATTTTTGAAGACTGGAGAATAGCTGCTTGGGATTTGATGGATTTCCGAAGAGTGTTAGGGCAGGCTTATCCTCTCGCTGGCAGACGTTGATCGCGTGAAGCTCTGCTGATTCGTCGGTATCGTCTTCCATTGTCTCTGTTTTGACCTCGGGTTGGTTGACGAAGGATTGGCCAATCAAGCTGTTCATATGCTTTTTGAATGCTGCGATCCGGTTGACGACCTCATTCAAAGGTGCCCCATCTTCCTTTGCGCCATTGGACTGAGTCTGATTGCGTTCAATTACAGCAGCTGATGCTCTTTCGATGTCGGAAAGAAACTCCTGCAATGTGTTGTATTTGCCCGAATTGACGCGTGTTTGGATATTGGATGTTTCTGTATCGCCAGAAACCTTTGCGCGCTTCGCTCGAGGCTTAGCGGTTGTATTTGGGAAGGGACAAGAGAGGAGTTGGAGTTCGGTGTCATGCCTGTGGCTTGTCAGCATAAGACCAAGAACGATATACTTTCATCAAAGCTTACTTCAGTAGAAGCTCAATCAGGCTGCGAAGAGTTTCATGGAGATTTGTTCGATCGCGCGAGGCGGTGGCGTTTGAATCAGTGATCGGTTTATCGTCCTGAGTCGAGCGTTTCCGTTTCCCAGAGGTTGCATTAGTACCAGGGTCAGGATGTGGTTCGCCATTTGTGGCGGACATGGGGGTTATATCTCCAGCTTCGTCGGCGCTCATGGTTGCGAAGTCGCGCCGAGGTCAAGGTTGACGATACTTGCTTTGACGCGGTCCCCTCCGATGCGAATTGATGGGGGGTCCACAAATCAGAAGATTGAAAGTAAAGATTGGGAGGATGCGATCGTGGAAATAGATATTTGCTGGCGATTTAGCGTTGAAGTTGATACTTGGTTCGGAAAGCAACCGCAGTCCAAGTAACCTCGATGGGTAGGGCGTCAAGCAAATCCTTAAGAGAAGATGGGGATCGCGAAGAGCGAGGGGAGAAGATAGAACCTTCACGTCACCACAATAAAAAAGGTGAATATGAGGTGGAAATAATTGTCAATAGAGACTGAGGTCTTAGAACAATGATCAATGCAATAGGCAACCCTCGAACGAATAGGGTCAAGTTGTTCTCTTTTTTCTGTTTTGGCTGGAGAGAACGTTCACTTGCGCTTTTCGGAATGGCGCGCCTTCTGACGATCCATCACGTGACCACATTTTCTGCCGCGCGATTGTTGTATTTTTTCTGATTCTTGGCTTGACTTTCCCTCATCTTCGGAGATAAATACATCTTTGAGCCTATTGAATGGGTCTGTGGCGTTCAGGCACTTTCACCCATGACTACGTTCATGGATGTCATCAGTCTTCAAGCATGCCCGAAGCCTTTCGGGAGTATCGCGGCTAAGAGCAGACCTGCTCAATAGACGGTTATACAAGGTAATTTTCTTCCAAGTTTGATTCTCCCTATCATTGGATATAGTGCTAAATAATTTGCTATGTTCCAGGCAATACCTCCACATGACAGCGAGTTTCTAGTATATTATCCGCGCAATTCCCTAGCCGGCCTAAGCCCAGGCAGTTTCCGTTCGTTTCAGTCCACTACGTCCCTCAATGTGCTCAAGTCACTCGCAATCGACACAATCGACACCCAACCTTCACAATCCGGTGATCACTTCAATAAAGAGTGGTCAAATTCCCCACTCGACGAACAATGCGCAACGCTGCCCCAAGACGCGGCGAATATCCAAGCCAGAGAGAAAAGGCTTGAAAAGACCCCCAGCATCAGAGTGAAACCGAAGCCCGCCGAATATCTCTCTAAAGCTTTGCGAAACACTGGCCATGCCCTCGGATACAACGGTCAATCAGCCTGGCTTGGCCAGGCTCACTCCAAATATGCACCTCAAACCCAGAATGAGTCGAGGACAGTTGGTCGACCAAAAAAGCCGTCCCTGCCGGTTATTCTTGGTGAGTACATACGAGAGGTGGACCCGTTGCTTTCGTCTGTGTCGTATAAGCGTGCGCATAAGGACTTGGATATCGCTCTTCAGAAAGTATTCAGAAGCACAAGCTATGACTACTTATCATCGCGTGGCTACGATTCCGCCGATGTGGCTGCTTGGGCCTGGATCATGAAGAGCCAGAATCCCCACCAGGCAATGCTACGGCTGTTCTTGTTCGAAACCGACAGAGCCAAGTCTGGCGCTACTAGTCCAAGCATTCCGCCTTTTATCCCGCTCCATCTTTTGAGACAGCAAAACCTCGATGCTCACTCTTTCCGTTTACTCTTAATCCACTCTTTACATCTCATGAGCGGACATACCTTCCCCATCACTGAAACTCCTGCTGGTGTTGCCGAACATGATCTTGAGCTATCCACCGAGGACGTCCGCCCTCAAATCGATTCAGGCACCCGCATGATTTTGGTAGTCCGGTTAATCCGACATGCTCGACGCGTGTGGCCGCAGTCACTTCTCACTATTGCACGTGCATTCGCTCGCTTCCTCTCAGCCCCAAGGGCGGATGATGCCGAGAGGTCAGTTTTGGTGACTCGACGTGACGATCGCGTCAAAACCGTCCAATTCAATCAATGTCTCTGGTTACTCTCCATACCGGCCAACATTGCTCCTTACCGCTCCACATCTATCCAACAACAAGCGCAATTTGAACTTCTTCGAGCCATGGCCACCCACAAGCCTGTCCTTCCCGTCACAAGACAAGGATATCGAGCAGTCGTTGCAGTCCAACTCGCCCATAAGAAAACATTTGAAGAGCGCCAGTCTGCTGAACTAAAAGCTCCATCATGGCCTCCGTGGAAGGAAGAGAAACTGGGAATTGATTCTCAGCGCGGGAATGAAGGAATGTTCAGTCGTGCGATGCAGGTCCTCTCACAGATGAAAGATGCTGGCTATTCTCATCGTCTTTGGGAGGATATATCCTCGATTTTGGCGGGTTGGGACACAGATCACAGCCCGACGGTGCAGACAAGGGCTTTGATGCGTCGCCCGCAAGCTTTACCAGACAGACATGGATCCAAGTCCAATCATCACGAAATGTGGGTTGCCCGAATTCGCTCTACGAGGACTGTCCGTGAGGCCTGGGCGTGCTTTCTTTCCTATCAGGACCATGGTCTCCCCCCCAAGGGTGCTGTCTACGCTGCCATGGCTGAAAAGTTAATATACCGACGATACGCCATAGAACGCGAGTTTGATCAAATGAGTCATGCTCTGCCAGGCGATGGCCGCGAAGTTCACCCCGAACCGGCTTCTGCTCGTGACATTATCTATGTGCCCACAGAACCACCTACCGTGGATGAGTTGCTTGATCAGATGCGCGCACAGGGGCTTCGGCCTTCTGGGAGGTTCCTCGGCCTACTTCTTCAGTCTGCTACTTCTCTGCGTTCCGGATTGCATTATCTCCAATGCAGTGACCTGACAGCTGCTCAAATCGAGGCGCTTTCCATTGTGCGGGCCAAACCTCGCAAATACCAAACCTTGGATCTTGAAGCTTTTCATGAATTGCCGGACATGGTATTTGCATCGTTCGTCAAGTTTCTATGCACACATTCAGATATTGCTAGTCTGGATGTCGGTAATCGAAACATCCTCACAGCCGACCGTTTCCCGGCCTTGATCGCCGCCGACTGCTCGACCGGTGCGAAAATCGACCTTGTCGCATACTCCGAGAAACATCCAGGAGACCGGCATCACCCAAGGGCTTTATGGCACGCGATCCAATTGACCAAATTGCGACGTGCTCCGTACACCCCGACCTGGACTCACATCTTATCTGCCCTGACTCGTGAGCGCGTTACTGGGTATTATGGCTCAAGAAGTCGAAGTCTTCAGCGCATACTGGCGTGGCACCAGGCTCTCAGAGCATTGAGCTGGATGCGACAGCGTGATGCCGAACTGGGTGAGGAAGGATTCCGCATTTTATGTGTGGCGTTTGCGAAAGCCATTGATGCTGCCATCAGACACCCTGGCACTGCCGAACAAAGCTTTGAGTTAATTCACAAAGCTCGTATTCGTCGTCTCAAGGCCAAAAACGAAGGCGATGACGAAGTTGACGCTTTGATGCAGCACGCGTTGCAGGTTTTGAAGCATCAGTTTGATCATCTCGTTCTCCCAGCCTCGAAAACCTCGGAGCATGCGGAGCGAAGTGTCTTTGCAGCAGAAATCGCTTCAGAAACGCAACTCAATGTTCCCTCGATGCTACAAATACCATCACCTGCCACGCTACATGCCTTTGTTCGGGCTCTGGGATCTGTAGGCGATGACGAAGGGTTGTTGCATCTGCTGCACTGGATGAGTCGGTCATCTGATCCATTGAAAGAAGCTGCAGATGAACATGCGAACGGAGACAAAATGATGCGTCGAACCCTTGTGGCGATCAGGGTGTTTTTGGAAAGACGACAGCAACGGATCGACACGCGGTTACCATCGGATCTGATCGTGGAGGCATACGACCTTATCAGCCGGACAGGCTGGGACTGGCCGAGTGATGCGGAGGTTACAGAATACTGTCAGTGATATGTATATAATATTGTAGTTTTAGAGGACTTTTTTCAATGTACATGATACCCCATATAATCCATTCATTTTGTGGCTTTCGGTAATCGTCGGCCTCAAGGAGCTTTCCCCACACCCGAGCTCCCAGAACATCTTCCACCCGAGAACTTTTCAGTGCAGTGATCTATCTTTCTTTATTTTAATATTGCGGTCGAGTGTATTCCCATTCGATCTTTGGAATTGCTTCCTGCACAATGGCAACCATCATGTCACAGCGCCTTGTCCGCCTCTCCGCACCCCTCGCTCACCTTCGGGCGACCGCGGTGCCTACCCGGATTTTCGTCTCTCGCTACAGCACCAGCACAGAAGAAGACATCATCAAGACTCAGCAGATCCCCGCGCCAGGTTCAGGACACGTACGCGTGCTGCAGCTGAACCGTCCCAAAGCTCGCAACGCGATCTCGACCCACTTACTCGACACGCTCTCGAAACATGTGGACGCCATCGCCGCCGAAGGAGGCAACGGGCCAACCCGGGCGTTGGTTATAGCGAGTAACGCAGACGCAGCATTCTGCGCGGGCGCAGACCTGAAGGAACGCGCCAACATGAGCCAGGCCGAGTGAGAAACAACCCTGTGCCCTGGCGCCCGGCGCCCAGTGCCTGGTGCCCCGGGCTTGAAGCCCGAACCCACGCAAGTATATGCAGCTAACCACTTAACGTGGCTATCCAGAACTGAGGACTTCCTCCTTAAACTCCGCTCCACCTTCAAAAACCTCGCCTCCCTCGAAATCCCCACCATTTCCGCCGTCTCGTCCGTGGCTCTCGGCGGCGGCCTCGAGCTCGCGCTCTGCACGCACCTGCGCGTCTTCGCGTCGTCTAGCGTCGTCGGTCTCCCCGAAACACGTCTCGCCATTATCCCCGGCGCGGGCGGCACATACCGACTGCCTCCGATTATCGGCGTGAACCGCGCCCGGGACATGATCATAACTGGCCGCCGGGTGACCGGACCCGAGTCTTATTTCATTGGGCTCTGTGACCGGCTTGTCGAGGTGCTGCCTGAGGAGGAGGCGCAGGAGGGCGTTGCGCGGGAACGTGTCCTCCGGGAGAGTATCAAGCTCGCCCTGGATATCTGTGAAGGTGGCCCTATTGCTATCAAGATGGCGATGCAGGCTGTCGATGCCCATGCTCTGGGTGAGCGGGCGGAGAATACGGCTTATGAGGGAGTGGTTGAGACTGATGATCGGTATGAGGCGCTGCGCGCCTTTGTTGAGAAGCGGAAGCCGGCGTTCCGTGGGAGGTAATGTTATATGATTCAGTTGAGTGTGGAGTGGTAGATGGGAATATGTATGTAGGAAAGGTGATCTTCCTAGGTAGACTATATTATCAAAATGGTATGTCCTATAATTCTATGGACTTTTATGTATAGATTCTTCGTATTAGTCAAAAGATGCAAAATTGATTTGAATAGACTGAGTAGAATACTCCATGTAGAGTGGTTTGGTGCATACCGAGACATCATGTGGACATGGTTCTGGTCATGAGGGCAATCCAATAGAGGTAATAACATTGGAAGTGCAGAGAAAGGTAGTGTTTCTCATAAGATGCCCGAGGTCAGTGACTGTAAATAGTAAATAGTGTTGATATATAGGATCCGGTGGAACCCTATATTTCCAAGATTGGATCTGATATCTTGTTTCCATGGTTGTGCTTTAAACTTCTGCCTGGATGATCTATAGGTCTTGTTTATATGTATGCCTATAGTTCTTACCCTACATACATAATGTAGTCATCAATAGGCTACAATATAGATCGTGTAACTAAGATTTTAAACAGAAATAGGGAAGACTGCAAGGTCTTGGGGCCAGAACTAGTGTGTTTCATTTTCCCATGGTCGATCTACTGCGTGACTCACAGGCTGCCTATATAGGAATATTGCAAGGCAACATACCCCGATCAAGGCATACTCAGCAATGATGCAATGAATGTACGTACATGCCTATGCATGTCTATGAATAACGGCAACTCGAGGCCTGAGTGGCACGGTACCTGGCAGGTTACCCGATCTGACAGGGCTGTGCAAGGAACCCGGGGTAAAACTACATATGTACCAATGGGTAAAATCCAAGACAAAAAATAAGCGATGGAGAGAATAATATGCGGCCCGTCACCCGGGATTCACAACCGATGCAGAAACCCATGGATCGACCGAAATAGTCCGGGTGACTTGGGTCAGGGGGGCACTGCCCTGTACCTGCCCTGGTTACCCCCAGTCACCTCAGTCACCTGAATCACATTTATAAAAGCCAAAGTCCGGACTGGTCTTTTTCTTTTTTAACTTCTTCTTCTCTCCACAACTTCATATATTATGGCAATAGCATCCTGACCCTGCTATTGTCCCATCCATTGCTATGTCCAAGCCCCGTGTCGCCGATCCAAAGGCCATCAAGGCCTTTGGCTTGACGCAGATCTATACCCCGCGCGATGAGCCTACGATCGATATTGTCTTTGTTCACGGCCTGAACGGTCACCCTCACGATACTTGGACCAGCAAAACCACCGGTTGCTTCTGGCCTACGGAACTTCTCCCGGACGTGCTTGCCTCACTGTGTCCCCGCATCCTTACTTACGGCTACAATGCCAATGTCACTGCCTTTACGGATGGAGCTTCGCGTGATTCAGTCGTCAGCCATGCTGAGACTCTTGCATCCACTTTGGCTGCTAATCGAAATGTAGGTTGATATCTCAACTTTTGCTTTGCTTGCTCTTGCCCTTGATGTCCTTGCTCCGGCTCCTCCACCGCCAGCCCATCCCAGAGCGGGGAGGGTCGCGTTTCCCGCGGGGATAGGGACGAACTTGACGTCGCCGTCAGTCAGGCTGTCGGCGGCGGGCTGGGCAACATTGGGGCCGGTGGACTCCACCAAAACCTGGAGGGGGCTGCTGGTGTTGCCTCAACATGATCCACAGTTGTTAGCGTTTACTACTAGGGCATAGGGGCAATGATCAGGCTCTTGAGCCTACCTGCCCGCCTCTCACGCAGCCACTCGGTGGCAAGGGCCGTTTGGGGGGTCGCGGCGGCCGCACTCAAGTCATCAGCGCTATGCCACGAGATGTCAGCCAATGTGCATAAAGACCCTCCAAAAGGCCCTTCAGAAGAGCTTCCAAAAGAACCCCCAAATAGAGTTTCTACGGGGGTCATGTCTTTAACTTACGGAGCTTCAAAAACTGACATCAATTTCTATATAGCTGCGAGACTGCTCCAACCGTCCGATCATCTTCATTTGCCACTCGCTGGGGGGGCTGATCGTGAAGCGCGCCCTGATATACTCCCGTAGTCTCTCAAATGAGAAGACTGAGCATCTACGTTCAGTCTATGTTTCCACTTTTGGTATCCTCTTCCTCGGCACACCTCACAATGGATCTGACATTGCGAAATGGGGTTTGCTATTGCACAACATCTGCAATGCTGTGCTCCCAAAGAAATTTATGGAGTCGTCTCCGCAGCTGGTCAAAGCGCTGCGGACTAACAATGAAACACTGCAGCACATCAACAGTCTCTTCGTTGATATCATGGGCCGATTCCACATCTACTTCTTCCATGAAACACGGTCCACCGACGTGCGTGGTACCCGCGAAGTGATCGTGGACGAGCACTCCGCCGCGCCGTACATGGAGGGTGTGGAGCGGGCGGGCATCGAGGCCGACCATAGCCACATGTGCAAGTTTGACGATGACAATGCGGCGGGCTATGAGGTTGTAGCGGAGGCGATTCTCCGGTACTCGCGTCAGGCTCCTGCGGTGATTACGGAGCGCTGGGCGGAAGAGAAGAAAGCCCGCACCCAGGAAAAGAAGGCTAAGGCTAGGGAAATCTATGACGGTGAGTCTTTGGCAAAATTTGTATCCCTTTGATGTGTCTTCCTTCTGGTGCTGACTATTGCAGCAAGAGTAGATGATTCGGCAAATCGAAGCATGCCTGATTTGAACAGAACTGGTAGGGCTTCATACCTTCTCCCTGCGCCGGAAGCGTCTGTCACGTTGAGGATCTATGAGATTGAGGAGCCTCCTATTAGATGAAGCTTTGTTTGATCTTTGTCTTTATTTTTTCCTTTGCTTTTACTACGAGCCCAGTTGCTTTTACTTCAAGCTCAGTTTGCTCACTTTTATCCTGATGCTTGTCTATGACTTGACCACTCGCTACCGAGCCAAGGGGCCAAATACATTTGCAAATACACTCTATTCTTTTTGATACAGTCCACAGTGTGCACTTCCTTTTTGTACTTAGTTTATTGGTGTTGTTCCCAGGGTGGCTCCCATCTCATGTCCTCAAACTAGCTGACCTCCAATCTTCTCAATATGCCAACACTTCTTAGAGTCACGCTGGCTGACTCTTTCATAGGCCAATCCATATTATCGCTACCGCGTGCCCCTGCGTCGGAAGGCCGAAATTCCCCAGTCTCTGACCTGGGAAACAGTGGACTTCTCCAACTCTCCCACTATTCCACCAAAGATTCGCCTCTATTCGTGGCACCTCCGGGATTTCATCCTAACGCTACTTTTTTTGGAATGGAGAAAGAACTTGAAGTGTTGCACAACCGGTTGTTCAAAGCCAAAGCGCGTCCAGAAAAGACAATGGCCGTACTGATCTCCGGCGTGCCAGGCTCCGGCAAGACACATCTAGCGCGGCAGTACGTGTTCACTCAGCGTGACTGCTACCCAGGCGGCATATTTTGGATTGACGCCAAGTCCCGTGAATCAACGTACAAGTGCTTTTGGGAGATTGCCCAAGCAGCTACACTGATTGAACAGAAGGTGACCATGAATCCTGAGTATCATGAGACTGCAAAGTACGTGAATGCAGTTCGCCTCTGGCTTCAGACACGTAAGGATTGGCTCCTCGTCTTCGATGGTGTTACCTTCGACTGCGACGACGATATCAACAAGTTCAGGGAGGTCTTGCCATGGAGCAAACAGTGCAGTATTATATACACCTCGGTGGACACAACGCTGCGCAAAAAGCAGCGACTATACGAGCCCTATTGTCTGATGATCTCGCGGTTGCAAGTGGAAGACGCTTGCAGGCTTTTGTTCAAGGATCTTGGGATTACGCGAGCGACACCTGAGCAAATCTCCAAGGCTACCCGGATAGTCGAGCACTACGAATGTCTCCCTTTAGCTATCCATGCAATTGGGCACCGTCTCAACGCGACAGGTAAACCGATTGAAAAGTATCATGTCAAATCTCAGGTGACGGACAAGAAGCTCGCAGAACCTTTCTTGAGCATCATGAACGATTTGTTTCGGTTGCAGCAAAAGCAGGCGCTACACTTGATTAATCTTCTTTCGTTTCTTGGCCATCAGGTGCCGGTGGGCCTTCTGAACCTCGGTCGAGCGGCTATGGCCGCTGAGAATTTGGAGATCCAGACCAGCGCCCAACCCGGAGAGGATCCTGATCTTGATACCACACTTGGAACACTCATTCACTATGGCTTGGTCGAACGGATTTCAGATGCCGACCTCTTCCAGCAAAGGTCGTCTGTGCATCGTTTTGGGGGCGATCGTATGAGCCCGGATGCGAAGATCGTTCCGGAACTCTCAGATTCTCTGACAGAGAGCAGCCAAGAAGGATTCTTCTCCATCTACCGTCAGGAATCGGTGGTTGACGTAGTCAAGATCCACAGTGTGGTGCAGGGGTTCTGTCGTGATGAGCTCCGAATCAAGGACGAAGAGAACAAAGGCATCATGAACAAGAATGACCCTGGTTTCTTTGATACTTGGTTGATTGTTGCCACTCGATTCCTTATCACGTCTTACGAAGCTGCTATGGGACGGATAGCTCATTACGAAGACTGTGGCCTTGTCCGGGACTACCGAGAGTACGAAACTCACGCTTCACGACTGCTTGAGCTTTTTCCAAAGAAGGCATCCATCAACCTTCATCCACTAATCGTTCGTGAAACTAGAGAGAATTTGCGACGGTTGACGAAGATCATAAGCAAAGAAATAGAGAACATGTCTCCAAGCTCCTCACACCACTCTATACGGAATCAAAAGTCGGTTTTCGACAGGTCAAGTAGCTCGTCGTCATCCTTCCGCGATTCATCAGCCGACGAAGGTCCATCGCGCCAGTCTACCTTCAACTGGAGTGATCTCGGGTCAGCTCGAGCGGAATCTCCGGAGGAGATGGGTATGCCGCCTCCCCAGTTCAGATTAGAGCTTTTCCCACCACATATATTCAGAGAGGCTGGGTATGAATCCGAAGAAGGCTATGAAACGGACGGGGAAGTCAAGGGGGAAATTCGAATCTCTCCAGCCATGTCGCAAATAAGCCAAACCACGGAGAAACCGAATAAGACACCTCCCTCATCGAGTCCTCCACCAATCACTGGCCTATCGGAGTGGCAAGTGGTCAATCGACATTCAAAGCCATGGTCAAATAAAGAGAGTCAAACAAAGAGGCGGAACAAAGGCCCTCGTCGCTTTAGAGATACCAGGTTCGACACTCCACTGGTCGAACTGTCCTCCATCCAAGGGAAAGGATCATCAAGCCGCACAAGCACTGCCGAAACAGGGAGCTCTTTGCCAGCTTCCGAGGCTGAGCAAGCACTCGCTGCAGTGCGTCGATCTAGCAATCCTCATGCGTCGGCTGAAGCTCCGCAGGCTACAATCACCTCTCCACCGGCAAACAAGGAGAACAGGCCAACGTATGCGAATGTGGCCACCCGACGAATGTTAGAGGTAGACACTATGGCGAAGCGCCCATCATTCGTTCCTACTTTGCAGTCTTTGGACCTAGCTAGCGGTTTACATTTGAATGGCGGCTTGCAGATGAAACCGTCTGCTGAGTCGCTCGACAATCAAGCTGGCTACGCCTTTACGTCTCCGCTATACCATGACGTATCTGATGAATTGATGACCGAGCCTCTGAGCCGGTCAACCTACAGTGAGCCTGACTATAATGCGCTCAGTCACCACCACGAAACAGACTTACATACCGCACCTGGATCCCGGGCTCCCTCTCGTCGTGGTTCAGTGGCACATCTGGAGGTCCCACGAAGTCTATCTGCAAGCGTGCCGTCCCTCCTTCCTTATCCACCACCACTCCCATACGATGAGAACATCTCTGTCACCCTTCCGACCCGCAGAAGATCCTCTCAATTCCCACCAAGCTCAGCAACTGCCTCAAGCGCTGCTAGACCTTCTTCAATTGCTCATCCATCCGCAATCATGCCCAGCGCATTACCATCATCTAATGCCAAAATACAGGTGGGCTCAGCCCCAGAGCGCTCCATTCCCGAGCCGATGTCGCGTGACTCTTCCGGGTACTCCCATCAGTCGTGGGCCACAGAACCCGTGCGGTATCCCCCACGGTTCTCACCAGTTCCAAGTTTCCAACAGGCTGCCGAGATGATCCCAAGCCCACCATCAAGCTTGCAACAGAAACAAATCGTCGGGGCCACTGGCTGGACAACCGAATTGCCCCTAGCAGGCAGTGCTCTCCAGCCAGATCCCACCTACCCCAGCCCGCCCACGTCATCACATGGTCAGCTCGGCTCCATGGATGAGCGACTGAAGTATCCCGACCCGGGCTGGAACTCGGAGATGGAGCCCGTGAAATTTTTGCATTTTGGAGGTCACCGCGTTGATGTGCGAGATGCACGACTCCGACTCAATGAATCTCGTCTATTGACACCGAGGCCTCAGCAGTATCAGCTATATCATCCCAATCTGTCAGGTCCTTTGATTCAGCATGATGGTCAAGTCTATGCTCCTGCGCCGCAATTGGAGGTATATGGGTCTCGTGCGCGTAGTGGGAGCTCCCCTGTGCACCCTAACTATCCTGGTTTGGGTGTGCGGTTCCCATGATGGCTGTGTATTTTTGGTGCTTGGTGTTTGGGTTTGTTTTTATTGTTATTGGTCTTGTTTCTTTTGCATTTGCATACAAGGCTGTTATTTCAGTCCGTCCATTGTCTTTTTATACTTACTCATCTCGCATCTGCTTTGGTTGATTTTGCATAAGGGTTCCTTTCATTTGAGGTTTGGGTGATACCCAAAAGCATGGGGTGAATTGGAGTTTCGAGTTGATAAAAGTACAGCATCTAGAGGAGCTTCAACAGAAGGGTATACTATCAACGCTGTCAATCAAAATCCTAAATCCCATTGGCAGATTCGTCTCCCCGTAGAATTGAGCCCTGCGAAACGTTTGCCAGCTGGATATTCTAACTCCTTCACGCGGATCACGAACATTACTCTCTTGGGTCTGACCCGGTGATCCCCAGAAGAAGTTGGCCTTTTTGCCTCCATTATCCTTCCCTCGTCGCTCCTTCTCCCTTGCACGGACCTTTCGACTGTGATCTTTGCTCTCTCGATTCTTTGCTTTTTGTTCTGCGGTTGTGCCAGAAAGCCTTCCCGTGAACAACTTCGTCGACCAATCCATGGCGTAAATGGATATTCTCTATGCAGCCCGATAGCGAGACTGGATCAAGTAGATATCAGGATCAGGTTGCCGGACTAGCAGCCATTACTGGTCTGGCAAGATGCGAGAATTCCCTTCCCTGACTGGGTCGATAACGCAACATCAGCTGATAGCTCCACTACCCAAATTAGGCAGATAGCTTTGCAATAACATACTGGGTGGAGCAGGCAACGAGATACTAAGTGGTGTAATTAAGAGTTCCTCCCAGAGTTATTCGCGTAGGAATGAATCCAGTTAATGACTTCGGAGAAAGTCTCACTTTAATAACTAGCCAGCTTGAATGCCCCTAAAGCAGACGAACATTTATGAACTCTACATAAGGCATGCCTCTAGATAGGAAACCAATACCACCAGGACTGCCAGTCTGCCGCATGGTCCTCAAATCCATGTTTCTCCAAATACTTTTGAACCTCCGACCTCCACCAATACGACTCATTGACACCCGGATTGGGAAGGTCTAGCCCACTGCTGATGCGAAACTTGGTTCGTATGCATCCCCTTGGGAAATACCCAGCAATCTCCCACCCAATGATCCAAATAGTGCCAGCTTTGGGCACGTCTTCCACAATGATATTTCCAGGACCGAGATCGGCATGGTAAAACACGAATCTCGAGCAATCCATACCCATCAGTTTGACAAACTTCAGTAAGTTCCTCAGGGCGAAAGTCTTCCGTAACAGCCCCGAGCTTGACGAAATACTCTTCAGGTATGCCTTTTCCATCCACGCCACCGAGCACGCGTCCTTCCAGCCTTCAAGGGTCTCGCGGACTTTTACCACTGCTTCCACATAGTAATGTTTTCAAGTTTCATCTAGAGTGCGCCAAGCATCTGCAAGCGTCCGTCCAGGCACTCTGCCGAGGAAGAGGTAAGACCGGCTGTCATCCTCGGCCCAGTGTAAGATGCTAGGGGTCTGAAAGTAAGGCTTTTGCTCCTGGACAAAAGCCAAAGCCAATGTAGCAGCCTCAGATGTGGCCCCTTCCACACGCAATTTGACCTCGCAAAAGGCACTAGTGCCTATGGACCAGACTGCAGAGCTATTTCCGGCTTGATACACGAGCACAATCTTTGGATTATATAGTGGCACGGCTCCGGAGGCGGAGGGGCGGGCGCGTAGGTGAGGGTGTAGGAAATATTGTCGGTCGACTCATACCAAGAAGAGATATTGGAAGGACCACTCGAAGAATGAAGAATCAGGCTGCCAATAAGCCATGTGTTCTCATCTACTTGCTTGATGGACTCCTAGTGTGGTCTTCCATAGTCTGAGGTGGGGGCAATCGGTCGCGGCTTTTAGAAGGCCTATCTTGTTGAGCGCCTATGAAATTGGTGGATGACGACAAGTTGCAAGATGGAATGAAGAATGAGGCAGCAATAAGCTGGGACGGGGGAGATGGACATATGTGTCTTGGATGTAAACATCATTAGTAACCCTGTCCTCACCGTATATTCAGCTAGGCTAATAGAAACTCTATGTTTGATTTTCATGTCATGCCAGTGCCGTATTTTCCTCTGAGCATTGTAGTAATTACCGAGGGGATACCATTGTAACTCACACTGTCAGCGAAAAGTGCTGTGCAAATAGCGATATACGAGTAGCGGATGAGTACATACCTGGGGAATCTCATGCAGGAATACACTGTTCCCTGTGACATAGCTATAGCATCTCCTTCCTCACTTCAGCCAGCTTCCGGACATGTAGAAATTCGGTCCTATATCTGGAGCCGTAAAAGGTATTACACAACACATTTGAAAAGACATTTGACAAGACATTCATGAACGTCCACGGGTAGTTATCTTCATTGTTCCTTCCCAACTTTACCTCAACCGAACTTCACCCTTCAAATCCCAACACATCTGTCGTTTTTTGTGACCATAGAAGCTCCTTCTTCCATACTATTCACCTTGCTCGACGCTCCACAAGGCCCGTCCACGGAGGCTGCAGAAAGCCTGCCATGCCGCGTACCCAACTCACATGGAGACTCACTTGATGGCACCAAAAATATGCCCAGTGGGTGCTGGGATCGCGAGACCCCAATTTGCCGTACTGCGATCGCGTCCAATACGATGGAAGAGAAACTTGATTTCGCTCGGAGCGGTCTCTTGAACATTTCTCTTGTTCATCGCTAAGACCACTGTAACAATCAACGAACCTGGTCTCTCAACAACCATCACAATGACAATGGCAATCACCACTGCCACGGCAATGACACAATCGACACCACCTAGCGGAAAAGCCGAGGCCTTCGCGGCCTTAATGGCCGAGTTTGTACGAGGTGGATGGGTGTGGACGGCTTGCTTTGCCATCCTGGTCCTGTACCTGGGCATCACCCCATCAATGCGGGCGCATACTTCACAAAGAAGTATACAGATTGGTGTAGTAGCTCCGCTGAACTTTTTCTCTTACTTTAACTGACTTTTTCTCTTACTTTAACTGACTATTCATAGGCACTTCGACAAAAGAATCCGCTCCCACACCCCAACTACCATAGTTATGGTAGACAAAGCTTGCGGCCCCTCCCATCCCACCATGATGGTGGATAAGCAATGCGGACCGTCAAATGGGGCCCCGCAGTTTACATTTACGTCTGGATATGATGCCGATGCTTTGGCATTAAAGTCTTCGTTTGTTTTTCTGTTACAGAGAGGAGAGAGATAGTTTTATGCAGAAGGCAATGCCTAATCTAAGAATAGTTCCAGGCAGAAAATTGGTCCGTTGTCTTCCAAGGCTGCTCAAAGTCCTGAGACAGGCAAGAGAGGCTCAGCCAACTAGGCGAAAGGAAATAGACAAGATAGAAGAACTGTAGATCCATCTGGTAAGCTCTGTTTCTTTTGAATCCCAAAATTTACTACCGCATAGTTACCTATGTAGGTAACCTAAGGTTGGAAGATGCCAAGCCTATCATCTCAGCATTAGAGTTTGCTGTGGCGTGGTATCCATTGCTTCAATTCCCCACCTTCTGACCTACTTCCAACCTTGGCAGGTATTCCATCCAGCTTCCAAGGCTGCGACACAATGCACACTCTAATGTGCGCTGACATGGCCTGGGAACAGGCCAAGAAAATATCTGACAATTGGCCCCTTCAATTCCTCAAATTTGAAATCAAGAAACCGATCGCGATGTTCATCCTCAAGCACCATAAAGGAGAAAATGAGACGGCACCGAGTTTACCATACTTGGGAAAGGTTCTTACAATATCTCCTTACGGATGAAGTATTAAAATCATGCTGTGGTTACACGGCTATCTCAGCCCGGTGCCGTATCTTTCCCCGAGGAAAAAGTTGTGAACGAACTTGCTATGATGCGATTTCTGATAGACCAAAAATTGGTATCTGTTCATTCTTCACTCTGGCACGAAGGAGGAAAGCCCCCTTAAACTGAGTCCGTTTATTATAATGGACTATGTGGAGCACGAAACAAATATGTACGACGCTCTTAATACCCCGGGATGTCCGAAAGAGGAATGTGGAATTCTAAACCCGAATATCAACGATGATACGCTTATGCTTTTGTATGATCAGCTAGCGGGTGTCCTACTTCAGCTTTCTAAGAATTCTTTTCCCCGTATCGGATCTCTTACCCAGATCGATGACTTCACCTGGGAAGTATCGCGCCGACCCTTGTCAATGAATATGAATGAACTGGTACGACTGGGAGGCCTACCACGGTCTAAAATTCCCGACACCACATTTAGTACAACATCTTCTTATCTTGAAGCCCTGGTGGACCTGAAAATTGAGCACCTAGCGCACCAGAGGAACGATGATGTGGAGTCAGGAGATGACTGTCGACGAAAGTTTGGCGCGGCAGCTTTTCCGTAAGCTCGCTAGAGAAAAGAGACTTATCGTTTCGCCATTTGAACATGGTCCTTTCAAACTCTGGTGTGACGATTTGCGACCGGGGAATGTACTACTCCATAAGAATATGCAAATTGCTGGAGCGGTAGATTGGGAGTTGGCATATACAGCACTGGTTGAGTCTTCTTATACGCCGCCTTGGTGGCTGCTCATCGAGAAGTCCGAGTTCTGGCCAAACGGTATAGACTACTGGGAGAATGTCTTTGAACACCACTTAAAGACGTTTTTTACGGCGATGAGAGATTGCGAAGACACGGAGATTCAAAAAGGTCACTTGGAAGAGAACCAACGCCTCTCTAGTCATATGCAACGGAGCTGGGATAGTGGAACTTTCTGGATCGTGTACGCAGCGCTGCATAGCTTTGCGTTTGACGCAATCTACTGGCAGAAAATTGATCCAATGTTTTTCAAGGCTTCCCAAACTCCTGAGACAGCTTGGAAAGAGAGGCTCGGCCTGCTGGGTGAAAGGGAAATTGAGGAGATGGAGCAACTGGTTGCTCGGAAGCTGGAAGAGATGAAAACTAGGATTTTGGAGTGGGACCCGGATGAGTGTACTATTGAAGCAATAGCGAAAGCGGAAGGTTCTCTCCGTGCTACTGTCTACTCGGCCAGCGGGAGGTGACGTTACTGTGATCGATCCGCGCCGGACTAATCCTTTTCGAGATGCGGACATTCACCTCATACATATGTAGTTACCTACCTATGGATCGCAAGGGATATTGATCTTTCAACCTGCATTTAGCCCTGCGAGCTCAGACAGAGCAGCCTTCATATCAGCTTCCTTTACCAGCGCAAAAATACTTCCAAGATGAAGATGCGTGAAGCCAAAAGTAGCTGAAGCCAAAAGTAACGTCAAGACGCGAAAAGAGACCTACCTTGAACAGTCCGGAGATATCCGAGCTCTTCAAAGATACAGATATATGACTTGGAAGGAAGCGTTCCCTAGTGGTGATTTTGCTGTCAATATGAGAGAGCTACTCCAGGTGGAATGTGCACTTCGAGAGAATGCGCAACGCGAAGTAGCCCTCCGACAGAAGATGGAGAAGCTTATAGAGAAACAGATTACCAACGAACAAACCGAGCATACCCAGGGCATGGCTCCATGGGGTTCTCTAGGGGCAGTCTGGGGGTGGATCGTAGGATTCACTTCCTGTAGTCGTGCAGATGACATTCGAGCTTTACAAGCAAAGATCTCAGAGCTCAATCGAAGCTCTTGGATTCTGGAACGGCACTGGCGGACTATCAGAGCTATGTTTCTCGACGAGTTGCTCTCTAGAGGGTTCGAGCTCTGGCACTCTCACCCAAAATGGTATATGCACCGTACTCTTCGTGAAAAATGCGTCATAAGAGGAGGATGCTGCGCAAGAAGCTGTGGATGCTGTTCTGATCGTCATAATACACCCGAACGAATGTTGGCTGCCGGGCATTGCACTCTGGAATGTCTCTGTTGTGAGGAAGCCAGAGGCTTTCAACTCAACCGAGAGCAATGGGAGGCAAGCCTGCCTCCCTTCTCACGCACTAAGGATAAACCGTCTCATCTGTACTTGGACCGAGTTATAGCCGTGAGTTTCGTGGGGATTGTCTTTGGGAACTATGATAATCCGTTTGATCTAATTGAAGACTCGCCGCCTAGCTATGCGTCTTCTCTACAACATCCTAAGAATGGGGCATGCTGGATGAGAAAAGGAAGGAATGGACAATGAAGATGAAATAGCCTCAGGAGGGTATGGAAATTGAGATGAGAGATCCATATCTCTATTGCTGTAATATTGATCAAACTTCTGAATTCCTACATCGCTGCGAAGTTATTCGTTGTTCAATGCCATTCGTAGTTAGGTGTTGTGGGACTTGACAGCGTAAGATGAATTGTAAATTGTGCATATAGAGGTAGATATCTGCCCTACAGTCTCCACCTCCTGTTGACTAGAGAAACCGTAAACTGTATAGATGAAAATGAAATCTCTGAAATTCTGTGCATATGGGCTGCAGGCATTAAGTTATAGTACCAAAATATTAATCGTGCTTCCTTCTGCAACATAAGCATCCCAAACATTCCAACAGGACATATCTCATTAAAACGAACCCTTTTCGCCATGAGCTGCTCTAGTAACGGCAACAGCCCCCTTCTCCACGAAACCGGGCTCAACCGCATCAATAGAAAGCTCACAAATCCCAGAAACATCATTATCTTCCACAAAGTCCTTGGGCTCCATCCATCCAGAAGCCTGCTTCATGTCGGGCGGGGCGGAAGCCAAACATGACAAGTAATAAACGACAAATCCGATTATCAGGCCGGTAGGGTAAGCGATATAGTAGAATCGCTGGATACCTAGAGGCGCCTTGACACCCATCTGGAAAAGGAACCCGTAAAAGTTCGGCGCGACGGCAAGAATGTAAGCCAAGAATGCTCGCGGGTTAAATCCGTGGAAGTATCGGTACGGACTTGGATGGGAGACGTACAGGGCTGGAATATTGAGCAGCCCTCGGTGAATTAGGTAGTAGTCGCAGATGAGAATGCCGGTGATCGCTGATAGGAAGATTTGGTAAGAGGAGAGGAATGTGATGAAGATCGAGGCCGATGCGAGGAGATACCAGGGGCAGATTGCGTAAGAGAGGACTTGTGGGTTTGGTGGTTAGTTTTGGGTTGAGGCAAAGCGGGATTGTTCAAGTTTTGTTCTTCCTTTCTTACCAGCACAGATGAAGAATCCTCGTTTGATTGAAATGTATTTTGGTAGTAGGGCTGCAATATCGTTACCCGCACTGAAGGTCTGTTAGCATTTAGTATAGAAATGTGTAAGAAAGTGATTCTTACGGGATAGAGTTCTCAAAAATGGCAGAAAAGACAGTCGAATAAACGAATGCCAGAGCAATGAAGGCACAGGCTGTGCGGTTGCCAGGCGTGTATCGCTCTCCTTCCATCAATTTGTCCAAGAAGTTCAGCGGGTTCCAGATGAGCTAGAGAACTTCATCAGTCCATGGTCTTAAACAAGGCTTTTGATATAACAAACCTCTCCAAAGATGGCTTTGCTAGCAGATGCGATGAGATTACCCAGAATGGCAACTAGGAAGTTCGACAGTGGGAAACTGACAGACTGGCCAATGAGGACGTCATTAGGTTTCGTAGCATATCGCTGGAGGTCGGACGCATTAGAGATAAAAGTTCCGCAACTTGCGAGTCCCAAGAACAGGAATTTGAAAATGAGATAACTTTTCTCGGTGCCCTTTACCTCTGAGGGCGCATTGATTGACTTCAAAGAGCCGCCAGCGAGAGACACAGTCCATCCCAACATAGAAAAGGCTGCACCAAAGTAGATCACGACTTTGACATAGACCAGCGACTTCATCTTCGGTACAGGCACTACTAAGAATGCGCAATTGATAAGCCTGTCGAGACTGGTCAGAAATAGATCGGACATTGAGATACTAGTAATTATACCAATAGATGAAGAAACACATCATTTGCGCTGAAGTTAAAGCCGATTTAGATCCCATCTTATCCGGGATGTTTTCAATAGAAGGAAATATAGCATGGAGAAAGACACTGGAAACGAACGTCAACACCCAAACTTTCAGCGCTTCCCTTACTTGGGAAAAGAACGAGATTAAGGGAAAAGAAACTCACTACAAACATTGCCCTCCCTGAACAGTATTGACACCGTTCCAAACAACCGACATGGCCGCACGATTAAAAGTCGGCCACAGTGCTCCCCAATGCCCAAAGCTGGAGCGACAAAGAACGGGGAATGGAATGCGATACATGGCACCGGCACGCCCGTTAACAGCCATCAAAGCACCGGCAAGGATCTGACCACCGAAGGAGCATCCAATTGCTTCCCACATAGTCAGTCCCATGGCCATTCCCGTGGATGCTGTGTACAGATTGCTGACGTTCGCAGTCGCAGAGAACCAGAACATGATGTAAGTGAGTTGGGACCATGTTCGATCCTTTACTGGCGTTGGTCGGATAGAGTCATTGTCAAGCATAGCAACGGGGCAATTGACGCCATCTCGATGAGTCCTTTTCACTATTAGGACCTCATGGAGTCGCGATAGTTTGGACATGATTGAAATTGTATATCAGATTAGTGGGGGTAGATAGAGTGTGGAGAATAAGGTAAAAAGATAAAGATGGTCGGATTCGAGTGCTAATCTTAGTGGCGAACTCTGAAACTTGAATAAAAGGGGAGGGGGTGAGGACAGAGAAGTACGTGCAGGATATATCGTGCTTTTTAGGGCTATTTGGCCATTGGGAGTGGCCAATGGACTGATAAGGAATCACCCGCACCTGTCCTGCAAAACAGCCATCCATGAATAGCTATCCAGAGAGGTGTCGACGATGTTATCTCAGAAGAGCAAAAGTAAGCCTATCCTGGCTTATCATTACAGCCAACCACATGTGCATGTGGGCGTATGGAGATTGCCTCGGCGATAGCCGTGCAACGCTTATCCGACGGTTATCGGTGGATTTTGACCATGTAATTTTCCGAGCATATTGCGGGGAGAAGAACCGGGGATAAATCCAAGAGCATCCTCGAGTTAGTGTTGGCCATATGTCGCACTAATCATGGCAAGTCTGCTCGAGTATACTCAAATCGAACTCCTCACGCTCAGCGGCCCAGAATTCCGCCGAGTGTCAACTGCTCCTCCTCGCTTACCAACGGAGGATGAGATCCCGATCATAGATCTCGCTTCTATTGACAAGGATCTAGAAGCGAGAAAGGCCATCGCATCAAAAGTAAGGACAGCGGCCGAGAACACAGGATTCTTCTATATCAAAAACCACGGGATCTCAGAAGAGCTCATTCAGAATGCCCTATCCCAAGCGCAAGCTTTCTTCAGCCAGCCGATCGAAAAGAAACAGCTAGCATCAAGCAAGACTCAAAAGAATCCAGATGGATGGCATGGGCTGGGGACTACCCAAATTAACAAAACCGAAACAAGGGGTAAACACCTGTCCCACCCATATAGGCAGGTGTGTATCCTTGCCATGTTACGAATAACTGACGAAGAATATTCTCAGATCGCAAAGAGACATTCTCCCTGCGCTACAATCCCAAGAACGATCCAACTGTCTCCGATCCGGACACGCTGTCCAGCGACGATGACTTCCCATGGGATACAACAAGCCATCTGCCTGGATTCCACGAAACAACAGTTGAATTCTATCAGCACCGCCTCAGGCTCGCGCGCAAGATAATTCGTATCTTCGCTCTCGCTCTGGACATGCCAGAAGACTACTTTGATGCGGTGACCACGAACCCCGGTGCAGACGGGCTTTACGTACACTATCCCGCTACACCAGCCGATACACTCGAGGAGAACAATGGCGATGTTGATGTCGGCATTGGCTCGCATACAGATATTCAGTGCGTCACTCTTCTGTGGCAGGATATGTCTGGCGGTTTGCAGGTCCTGTCTACCAGTGACGAGTGGCTCGATGCTCGGCCTATACCTGGCACGCTGGTGGTTAATATTGGCGATTTCTTGCAGCGTCTTTCGAATAACAGGTTCAAGTCTACGGTGCACAGAGTCTATAATCGTCAGCCTACCTCCCGGTACTCGATGCCTTTCTTCCTAGGCTTCAATCCGGATTCGGTTTGTAAGGTTGTTCCTTCGTGTATTGATGAGGACCGTCCTTCGCTTTATGGGCCTATCTCTTGTGGAAAGGTAAGTCCTACGTGTACACTTGTTCGGTATTTGACATGTCTAAATTTACGTCTAGTGGCATCGAAACCGAATTGAACTTGCACACGGAAAGCCCATTTCTGATTGAATATGAGGTTTACTCCAGGAGATATGTATTTCAATTTAATCTACCCTCAAATAATAGACAATGCGACTTGTATAGATCTCAAAATTGCTGCATAGAGCCATTCATCCCGTCCCATTCAGAAGCAGGCATTGAGTCAATAAACCGAAACGGCGCCCAGTCTGCGACCGAACCTGGATATGAATAAAAGGTGTCATCGGGAACTACTGCCACTTTCGAATCCAAAAGATCCTTTGCCTTCTTCTGCACAACATTTGTGGCCCAGCTAAATACTCCCTCAATGCTTTTGGGAATCCTAGCCTGCGTCCGAACATCTTCCATCAACGTATATGTTGCGTGCACATCCGATATACTCGCGCAGTACTCTGCTAAAGTGACGCCCGCATATGCGGTAAGCAGGTAGTCGTATGTTGGTCTAAAAAACGCAGTATCAGAGGTACAGAGGACAAGAATCTCTCTCAGTACCAACTGAGCATGGCGAATGACCGTTTCGGTCAGGCCGTTGATACGCTCATTGCGCATCAGCGCGTCGGGAGGCGTGGACTTATTCTGCTTTGCTAGTTCCCATCGAGATAAAATGAGGGATGCACAACAGTGCGCCCATCTTAGTATATTGTTGCCTTCTGTGTTTGGAAGTCAGCATTGGAAACGTCCGCCAGCACGGTCAAATTAATATGCTCACCTCCAAGATATTTGCGTCCCCATCCGTTAACCATCTCCCAGGCCTCTGATACTGAACTGACAGTATGATAGATGGCTTCGTACAGGTGAATGTAGAGCTTGAGCTCTGCTGCAATGATGTGGTCGAACGTTTCGAACCCGGGGTACTTGACAACCTCCGTCCATGGATGAAGACGTTCGCATGGGACCACTGATGGCCGACCGGTGCCAATTGCATATCTTGAAGCGCAGTCAGCTTTAATGCCCATATCAAAGACGGGGTTTATAACTGTAACTTTGAAGAGTACTTACTTCAGATGCACGAGCGACGCCTGGATCCACATCCTGCACATGTTCCGACTTGTCTCATCGTACAAGCCCACGAGAGACACAAGCTCAGATAGAGGAAAGCTGAGCATGCAGTGGGTGATGGTCGTGCTGCTCATCAGCCAGCTATCAATATACCTACCACCTGGCACGAGAGGCCCAAAGCTCCAGGCACTGAATATAAGCATGGCGTGTATGGTGGAAATATCGATGGGCGTATCTAGAGTCTTCTTGCCCAGGTGGGTCTTGACCAATGTATGAAGGGTTATGTGCAGGTTAGTGCGGTTTAGACCGGCCGTTGCTCGCATACCTGCTAGAAGGCATATGGCGAAAAGCAGAGGATGGTCCTGTTTGAGAACCGCCAGGGTCTCATGCGGAAAAGGGTACCATGATGTTATCTGTTCGAAGCCATGCTGGAAAACACTGGCGAAGTTGTCCGAGTCCAACCCCATCTCGGTCATATTTCCCCGGAGCGAATCGTTTTCCCCGATTACTACCGGTTCGGTGATTAGACTTCCAACATGGCGGACCACCGTGATTGGTGCTGGTTGGATGTCGGTGGTTGCAGATATATCTGCCTCCGAGGGCACGCGCATAGTGGCTTTGCTATCGTTGATATCCTTTGTCGCGTTCAAAGCACTGCTCATTCCGCACATTTCATTCGCAGGATCTCTTGTCATTGACCGGCCATTGCCGGGAAGTTGAGATTTTAGTAATTCTTTCATTTCAGCGAGTGATGCTTCAATAGCATCGAGTCTGGTACTTATCAGTCAGTAATCAGAGCCTGGGTTTATACAGGTGGAATTAAATATACCGGGCTGCGCAATGGCATGCAGTAGGCTGGGCAGAGTTCCTCTCTGATCTACCAATAAACCCTGAATCCGGGCTAGTGATAGCAGATGTGGATGGAAGAGAGCATTCAAGCCTAGTTGGTGTCCAGTTAATCCCCAGCAATTCTCAATAAACGATGGTATTGTATTGGGCCACCTACCTTAGAGAGATGCACCGAGCGCATTGTTTCGAACCCGGAAGAACCTCGCATCGTGTCTTCAATCGCCGACACGGCTGGCAGGACAAAATCCGTCGCTTGGTCGGCATTTCATCGAGTGGAATGACCCATAGGATCTTAAGATACTGTGAAGTCAACCTGAAACTCGATGTTCTCCGCTGCTTATCTGGGGTTAACAGGACGCTAAGACGTCTTGGGTTAGCTGCCCAGGCTGCGCAGGTCCCGAGGTCCACGGGTGGCAGTTTAGGGTTATCACTCGCCGATAAGCAGAGTTGGGGTTTTATAGCTCAATAAAATCGAGAGTTACTATAATGAAAAAGTGGAGTGAGTTGTTCAATTCATCTAATACGTACATGTCATTCAAAGGTTTCCATTTTCGAAAAATTCAGGGCCCTAACGTGCAAAAGAACAAGCCGGAATCAAGAAGTTGCCCATAGAAAATCATGCAGCTCCTCCTGGGGCAAGATTCTTTCCCTTGACACTCTTCCACTCCACACACAAAGCACCGATGATGCTGATGGAGGCCACAGCTGCACCCACAATGAAGGTCTGGGTAAGTGCGTCATTGTAAGCAAGCAGGACTTCGGGTAGGTCAGCCTTGTCGACGATACTGTGAAGGCCAGTGGGGCTGGTCTTGAGGATCAAATCTGGATCCAGGCTGGTGATGTACTTGGCGAGATACTCAACAAGCTTGTTTCTGAAGACGTCGTTTCCAATAGAAACAAAGAGAGCACCGCCAAGAGTCTGGGCAAAGACGATGATAGATGTACCGGTAGGTATATCAGAAAGACCAAGGACAACCTGGACAGCGATCATAGATTGCTGCATACCAGCGCCGGCACCGGCACCGGCAATTATCTGATAGCCGATCCAAACTCTCTGGTGTCCGTGTGGAACATGCTCATGAGACCGTAGCCGATAGAGAGAAGGACTGTACCGAGAATCATAAAGGGTGTGTAGTAACCGACGTGGGTGATGACGGCTCCCGACAAGACGGAGCTAACCACAACGGATATCAGCATGGGCAGGTCCATATACCTGAGCTGACGGGACTCGCGTCTTTCACGGCTTGGAACCAGATGGGTAAGAAGTAGACAGAGGAGAGGAAGGCGGCACGAGGCAGAAACTGCAAAGAGCAGACGACCAAATAGTGCGGCGGAAGAAAATGCGTGGTGGCACTGTAGCATTGTCTTGCGCTGTGTACTGGACAAATAAAAAGACGAGAACGAGAACAGCAAAAACGCAAAACAACAAAACGATGCGCCAGCTATTCCAGGCATGGATGGTGCCGCCTCATTGCAGAGCTAGCAACAAGCAGATAATGGCAGTGAGGAAAAGAGTTGTACCCACCCGGTCAATCTTCTTAATGCGCTCCAATCCATGTCGTTTCTTTGTTGTGGTGGTTTGGGGTAGGGGAAAAGATTGAAATCACCAAAGCAGTGACAACTCCGATAGGAAGATTGATGTAAAAGCACCAGCGCCACGTCACCACATTACTTTGTCGGTGAAAACCTCGCCGAGTAGAGGCCTAGCCACGGATTAATGCCGAACAACCTACTGATATAGCCGTTGTATAATGGGCACCTCTCTAGGGCCACCGAGTGGGTGACCATGGTGAGCGAGCCCGAGAAAATGCCCGCGGACCCAATGCCAGCAACAGCACGGCCCATGATAAGCGTCATACTGCTGTTGGCCATGCCGCAGATAAGACTGCCCAGTTCGAACACACCAATGGCGATGAGGTAGGTCCATTTGACATTTAAAAAAGTGTAGGACTTTCCGAAAAGCGGTTGGAGCGAAGCTGTGGTGAGAAGATACGCTGAAAAAGTGAAGCAAAGGATCAGTTCAGACCCATCACCTAGGTTGCCTCGGCCTTTGACATACCACTTCCATACCAGCCAACATCATCGAGACTGTGAAATTGGACCGTAATTTTCGGAATTGCGGTGGCAATGATGCTGTTGTCTATAGGGTAAGAGAATATGCGTTAGTCAGGCCCTGCAGTCAACTTCCAAGAGTTATAAGACGAAAAAAGCGTGAACGTACCGAGAGCCACTAGTAACACGCCCAAACATACGCCAGTGTAATCAAAGCTAATTTGGGACCCGTTGGATACTCAGTTCCCTCACACGTGGTAGGCTCGCCTGCTGGGTGCTCGTTAGGCCCAGCCATTTTGGTTAGGGCTACCTTTTCCTGCTTAGGGATAACATCGCCGGCCAGCGTCTTCTCCACCTCTTGCTCGGAAAGGTCAACGTGACTGGAGTGGGTTGTGGGCTCCATTTTCAGTGACCGACTGTACATCGAAGGGCAACCCAGTAGAGATGTATCAAGTGAGAGCAGAACGCGAACAAAAGCAAAAGCAAAACGATGTTCTGATGGATGTGTTTGAAAGAGAGAAAGAAGAGATGGAGAGAGAAGAGAAAGAAAAAGTTTCCGAGGTTGCCCAGGTGAACTTAGAAGTCATCGACCTGAGGCCCAGAAAGCTTCCAAGGGTTTCCCCCGATTGGAAGGCACCTGGGAATTTGGTATGTCCGTATATCGCCTTGCTCATTATATCCAATTCTCCCATGTTCTCTATAACTTTATATAAACCTGCCTCACTGCCAATTTTAAGCTTTTCTGCAAGCTATAGGGGAGCTATGTGCGTTGAGGCTACTAGAAACTGAGCATCTGAGCGACTAGGGAGCGGGAAAAACCAAGAAGAAGAAGAAGAAGAAGAAGAAGAAGAAGCAGAAGAAGCAGCTGCATTCAATCTATCAAAAGAAAGGCCTTTTGTACAGGCCACAAAGAGCAAACAAGAAAGGCTCAGTCTGAAGAACCAGACATCCATGCATGGGGGATGGGATCATCCAGCAATATGCGAGCTATGTGGAAGGTCTCTGTGAGTTCTCTGCGAGTTCTCTGCGAGTTCTCTGCGAGTTGCCTGTCTCAAATGTAATTATAGAGCGGGAATTGATTGATATATGCTATATATATGCGAGAAGCCCAAGATACGCTTCGAGAAGAACCAGTAAGCGTTCATGGATACAACCACGGGAGCTTGATCCAATCCAAGCTTTATCTACTGGGTCGCCAAGGTGCCACCAGATCTAGGCGCTAGTCAATGGAAATTTATATGTATGCATTGCCATTTGGCATATTCTTTTGATATCTTCCACTTATAACTACAAATCTTCATGGTGGCAGCTTTGCCTACGGACCTTGGATCACAGGGGCGCACTCTTGTGTATACTCCCATACTTGCGTCAGGTGGGACAGAGCAATTTAGATCTTTTCACCTTGGTGTAATTCAAATTTGATTTGTTGTAGGCCACTTTTAGCTTGGATCACCTTTGATGAGACTTCGGACGCTTTCCAGATTGGGTTTGCCCTACATTCCGTGGAAAATCTAATCGCTAATAAGATTCTCTCTAGAGTGATCCAGACATAGAGTGCATTGTTTTGATCGCACAATATCCCATTCATAATCCTAGCACGGAAGCATAGTCGTAAGTATTTACCTAGGCGCACTCCGAGCAACGAGACGCGTTAATAGAGAGTTTAATAGTAAAGTAGGTCGATCCTATGAAAGTAATGCATGGCTTGCATTCGGGCTTCATCTTACGACCCCCATTGCGCTTTGGTCCTAGCATTCGGTTGATATGATTATACTTTAGCGCATAGAGACTTAAACTCTGTATCAGACTATAACCGGGACACCCTGATTCCGGGATACAGAAATAGCCGGACTTCGGTCATTTATCTCGGAGTATCTCAAGATCTCAGTCTATTACTCCTTCTATATAGTTTTCACCTTTCATTCATGTTATTTGCGGGTGATATGCTCGGAGATTCGTTCTCGTTCGAGCCAGGTACAGGAAAAGTGTGATCTAGAAAATCCCACTGTAGCCAGCACGGAATATATATCCTCTAAGCCCGAGTCCTATACAAACAAGTCTACTGACAAGCCTATTAGTCTGTGTTATATTAAATACTAGCTGTTACCCATATATCCGTCGCCGTCTCTCTAAGTACAACGTCGGAGTTTTGCGAAGGTGATGATGTTCTCGCAATTTTAGAATATGAGAGTCAATTGCTCTTGATATAACTATCCGATGATATATCGCTTCAATCTCTGTGGTCCTTGTTAGCAATCTTCTTGTTCCATAGTAGTAATTGGGGTTTTATCTTACATGTTGGCCGCTGTCACCCACACCTAACAGCGTCTATCAGCGAGAAAACAAATGACCCCGAAAATGACATGCTCAAAACCGGATTTAGACGTGTATAAAATCCCGTGACCGATCAAACCTGATTTGAGAATGAAACCTTGCGAATCAGGCCAAGACTGACTGTCAATCGACGTAAGAAGTGGGCTACATACTGATGACGTCGCCGAAAACCAACTGAAGCGACCAAGTAGAAACCAAGTATTATATACATTTTAAAGCTCGAACCTACTTAAGCAAGTTGCTCTGCATTGATCTGGGGAAACCCATAAAATATCTCATCAATTATATGCCAATTAGCCTGAGCTATCGGAAACTTCTACCACACCACCACATTAAACAGCCACGTCGAAAACATGCCAGCAGCACGATTCGTTCCTCTCCTCAGAACCCGGGTGGCTGTACAAACTGTACCTGGATTCCAGGCAATTCGCCCCATTTCAGCTACAGCCCCATGCAATAAGGGACCTGTCGATGCGACAAAAGACACACTGAAGAAAGCCGATCGGGCGGTTTCTGATATAGCAGTAAAGGGCATCAATACAGGCGGTATGTCTTTGACGTGACCTCACAGGTCTACATGACTTTCATTCAATGTGCAGAGATTGATGCTAACATGACTTTGCCAACAGAGAAAGCCGCCCACAAGGTTAAGGATGCCGTTGGTGCCGGGGCCAAGCAAGCAAAGGAAAGGGGGGGAGAGGTGAAGGGCGAGGCATCTGAGTATGCAGGCAAGGGCAAGGGCAAGGCAGAAGAAGTAATGAACGAGGCTAAGGAAAAGGCAAAGTAGGCGATGGGCCAGGTTGAAGGGAAGTCCAAGGAAGCCAAGCGCCTTCGACCTTGTCTGCCCGCAAAGACTAGGTTAAGCTTGCATCACTTATGATCCGAATTGTAACATTATTGTCATATTCCGTTCACTGAAGTTGTTGTAGCCCGTAGACCTTCAATGCTTTCAACAAAGCTGAAAACGTCACTCTTCAGCTGGGAGGCAGCATGAGGACGTATTCGCGTGAGCTTAGACCGAAGCGAATTACGTCCTTGTCCATAACTTCCACGTAACGACCACCGGGGATGGTCTCGCCATTAACGCTCGATCCATTTGCACTCTCTAGATCAATAAGATAAGGCTTGACCTTGCCGATGCGATCGCCATATTCATTGCGCTTTTCAACGAATCGGAATTGTAGCACTGCATGCTGTTTCGAGCAGCTGGGATGGTCGAGTGGGAAGTCTACCACCATTCGCTCGCGACCGACCAGCCAGCAACTGCGTTCACTCAATTCGACAGTTTCCAACAAGTCTTGCCCTTTGAACACATACATGCGCCAAGCTTCCTTGCGAGGTGGCTTGCGCGCCTCTGGAGGCTCATGGTATTTCAAAACAATTTCCGTACCACCCTGGACTTGAATTGTATTGCTTTCGGCTGCGAGTCTACCAGTGGGGTTGAAGTTCGGCTTTTGCTTTTCTGGCGCCGGTGCATCTGAAGGGTGCGCCACATCGGTGAATGCGTCGGACTGCGAGGGGAGGGGGCCGCGTCGTTCCAATGCTCGAGGTCGAGGGCTGCGTGATCTTTGGGGTGAACGAGAGCGAGAGTGTGATCGCGTACGCCGATGTCTTCGGGAGGATCGTGCTTCATATTCATCGCGGCTATCACGGTGTCGATGGCTGCGGTGTCTGTGCCTTCGGTGGTCTTCACCAGGGGAGCTTGTGGATCGCTCTCTGCGCTCGCGACGAGGCCGATCACGATCACTTCGGCCGCTGGTCCTTTCAGTTGGGCTGCGGGATACTCTCCGTCGAGGGCTATCCCGGTGAGAGCTCCGGCGGTCTTCATCGCGTCGTCTTGAGCTCGAATAGTGGTCGTCTTGAGACGCATCTCGTCGCCGTCGTTCGGGGCGGTCGTCACTAGACCCAGTCATTGTTGTTGAAATGGGACTGCGGGGAAAGACAAGCGTAAAGATCTCATTCAAAGTGTCGGAGATCTTTAGATCAAAGCTCCAACGCCTAGGTACACGTGACCAGCCCCGAAGCCGCTGTTCCGAAGGACGAGAGCCTCACCTTACTCTCCTCTCACGATGACTTTAAGACAAGAGCACCACGGATATTATTGACCGTGCTCTCTGAACTGATGCCATGTAACAATGTTCAAGAAAATCAATCCTTTTCATTGCCGAAGCCTGCGAAGTTTGAATTCGACCGCGGTCCTGCCGCTTTCTCCTTTGAACAACAAACTCTTTCCAAGCTATGGACTACAGGCACCATACAAAAGCAGTAACTATGCCACCGCAGCAGGGTTCCCACACCAGAACTACTCATGGCCCAGCAATCCATCTTTCACTCCTTATGATGTCTTGAATCTACCCCGCAGCGCAACGTACACGAAAAGAAATTACTATGACCTTGTTAAGATCTACCACCCTGACCGACCTCTCAAAGACCATCCTCTTTTCCACCAATTAACCGCTGAAACTCGATTGCAGCGCTACCGAATTGTGGTAGACGCACATGAAATCCTTTCTGATCCGATCAAACGAGCAGCCTATGACCGAAATGGCACTGGCTGGATCCACACGATACTGGATACAAGAATAGAACGAGATTCACATGGACCGAATATCTACGCCAATGCCACATGGGAAGATTGGGAGGACTGGCATAACCGCCACCAAGGGCCGCAGCAGCATGTTGTCGACCAGCGCACCTTCACTCGGCTTGTAATCCTCTTGGTGCTGTTTGCGGGCGCCCTTCAAGCATCCTGGCTCGGGCAGGTGAATACTGGCTACAATGATCGACTACGTGAGGTCAACGAGCAGTCGGCGCGCGTTCTGCAGGACCGCAGAGACAGCACCGTCAAACAGATGGATTCAAATGATGCGCGTGTGCAGGGTTTCCTCATTCGGAGAGACCCCACAGGGTCGGGTTTGAAGGATAACGAGCAACCAGTTTATCAGAGGGAGTTGAATCCTCGGCGCGGTTTGAATGTGGCCGACCAAGCTGGTAAAAATAGCCGAGAGCGTAGACAGTCAGTGGACTTGGAGTCGGAATCTTCGGAACTCCCCTAGTGCTGTTAGATGAGCATATGATTGCATGGCGTTTTGACTTTTATATTGGGCGCTGTATTTTCACAAGCACTTGGTTATAGTCCTGGAGACTATTGGACATATGACTCGTGAGAAAGTACATTTCAATGAATCTCAACTTCGAAAGACTTTTGGCCCTCATAATAGCTTGGAATTTTACTAACGGATTAGTGGAAGCAACATAATGTTGATGGGAGATCTTATTCAGTCAGGATATACAGTTGACTATATGAAACTAGGTATAGCGCCACAAGAAGCTCGAAGAATAAGGGATACTACATATGCAGCTAGAAGCGCCCAGACTCATATAAAGGAGCCAGCCAAGTGAGATGGAATGTGTATATTATGCCAAATGACGACGAGAATCTCAAGTGAACGTCTGGGTGTTGGAAACGTTCCAACGTTGGGAGTAATATATATTGTCGAAATAAATAAAGTACTGCAAACCCCAGATTATCCATTTCCCAATTTTTAGAAATTCCTGCGGAAAAGGGGGGCTTTGACCGTCGATGCACTAATCATTCCCACATCGAGCCGATTTGGCGCCACAGGAGCCCCGTTGACGTCGGCGGGTCGATCCCCTCGTTCCGTTCCCAGGGGGGTTAGGCATCTGCAACAGGCGTGAAAATGCATTTGACCTCTACAATACCCCATTCCCCGTAAATGCGAGGCTGAACAAGGGTGATAGGGGGTTTGAATTCTCTGGTCTAGACCGCTTCTCCTTCGATCTGGATGTTCCACGAGTCACTTTTAGGCATGTAGTTTTATACGGCAGACACCGAGGCTGCGAATATTTCATAAATATTTCATAAATCTTTGCAAATGCCCACCAGGTATAAAGGGAGAAATTCGGATTTGGACGAACATCGTCATTGCCGTTCACCGCAGTCCCGAGTACAGGTAATCCAGGTACAATATAGGGCTACGTCACGTAAGTTAACTATTTTCTTTTTCTTTTTTAGTTTGAAAGGGGAGAGTTGACTTCAGATATATAAGAGAAAAAGTGACTAGAAGTCTAGTCTTACATACTTGAACACATTTACATCCCACTTTCGCATACAATGTATAAAGAAATAACCATAACCTAATAACCGTATATAAGAAAAAAAGCCAAGTTTTTATTTTCCTACGTCATAACTTCCCCCCAGGTGCATCACGCCCCCAGTCCACTTTTTCCTTCCTTCATCCACTCCCATCCACTTCCATATCGATCCAAGCAATGGGCCTGGCGGGTACGCCTGTTTCCTAAATTGTTCCTTCTCTCGAACACCTCAATATCGGTTATTCACCCCCCCTTTGATATACACCGCCTCAACCTTATTCGTCTTCCAACTTCTTCATCCTATGATTCTAAATCGATCCGACACTCTCATCTCATATCCTAACCTTCTAACCTTGGCATAATCTGTTTTCTTTTCTTCGGCTTCCTCAGCACCCCACCCCAACATCTGACCTCCCCATTTGCGACCCGGTCAAGCCATAAACGCCTCACATCGTTCCATCCCATACTTCGCCCACGACTATTGATACCCTTTTGTTCCCTTCCCTCCACTGGAGGAGCGAGAATGGGGGATGTCCACAGTAGGAGGAGTCCTCCATTCCCTTCGCCGACAGAGACACTTCCACCTCCAGTGTCCCAATCTCATATGCAGCCTCTCAGATCGCCTGGCTACCGCTCCCCACATGGTCACCAATCCCAGAAATTGGTGGATGAACTTGCGGATAGGGTAGATGCGCTTGAGAAATCTTCCCGTCAACCATCTCGTTTATCGCGCGGTGACTCTGCAGAGCAGGTCATTGGTCTAACGCCCATTACCGAGGACGCACGATCGGAAGCCGAGCGACACGAGGATCAAGGTCGCAGCTCGCATACCCTCAAGGAACTTCGAAGGCAGATGGAAGATCTCCTTGTATACCAACAGATGCAGCAAACCCAACCAGTCTCGTCCCAGAGCCAACCCGTCTCCGCTCTCTGGAATGATACCCCAAGAAAAAGACGTTTGTCAAATACCTTGTCCAGTACCTCAACGGAGGCTCCGGTCGCCACCGTGAATACCTCCGCAGGCTCGGCAGGTTCGACAGGGACAATCAAAGGTGCCCAGACAGAGACACCTTCCGATCGCAAACCAGCACACACACCGTCCTATCCCTTTCCACCCATACAAAACAAACCAGCCAAAATGGGGATTGAACCGACAGCGCGTGGGGGACCATTTAGACTGAAGCTTCCATCCGAGAAATCTCATGCTTCAACACCAGGGTCCCAGACTCTACCTCCAGAACCAAGAGCTTTGGAACCACATCCGACCTTTTTGCCCGCTCATCATAACCAGATCCAGGAGGATCCAAATTTTGCCAGTCCCGACCTTTATGATCTCACACTTCAGCTGAATGCGGATGCGGGACTTGAAGCGTGGTGGTCAAACCTCGTCGATATATTGCAAACGCATTACGGGGCTGAGCGTGTATCACTCGCTGTCCCTGGAGATGTGACCGATTTGGAGAACGTACCTTGGGGCCAAAAGGCAATATTTAACCAGAACGTGGATACGTCATTGCATGAACTTCAAGCGCGTCGTATAGGGAAGGGACCGTCAACGGAGACATCTCACTCACGCAAAAGTGTCCAACAGAAAACCGAGACAGTGTTTCACCAGGCTAAAATGCCTGGACCTTCCCGGCCATCTTTATTATCCCGGCATTCATTCGCTGG